TCTATCCTGCCCAAAACCATCATGAACACCCCTCCCATTCCCACCGCAAGGTTGGAACAGCTGCTCACAACAGAGGATTGAAAACAGAGCTCCCACTTTCTTTTAAATCAACACTAACACAGTGTGCAATGCAAAATCTGATCGTATTTGAGTGTTTTGTGACATGGAATGTGATTCATTGTTTCTATTGTGAGTTTATTGTGGAATCAAAATGCGGGCAGGGAAGCATAAGCAACGTGCCTTCAGGTTTGTTTGCTTTCCGCTTGGATTTTTTTCCTTCCTCCATGTTAATGATGAACACAGTATGACACATCCAAATGCTTTAACTGGCTGCAGCCTGTCAACATAAAGCAGTAGAAGGCAGGTAACAAGGAACTAAAATAAATGGTATTGTGAATGCACTGAGGACGGGTGAATTTGCTTCAAATTGTCATGCTGCCTGACTATGATGAAGTCCATGAGCTGGAAAATTGGTGTAATCATCTTGGCCTCTAACCTATATTGCACCCTAATTTGGCTGCGGGATGAGATGATGACTGCATCACAGCTTGGCCTCAGCTCTGGAGGTCGAGGTGTCTTGGGGACGAGGCCAGCTACTACTTCCTGCTTACCGAGAGCAGAGGAGCATTAATATGGCTCAATTACACCAGACTTTATTAAAGATAATTGGCCATAATCACAGGTTTGGTTCGCCCCAGGGTGTGAGAGTGGCCCTGCAGCTTGGTAGGGGCTAAATAAATATATTTGACTTTGACCTGAAGTGCAATAGGCTGGACACTGTGACTGATGTGACTGCCTACAAGATGCTGTTGCTTTAGTGAATAATATAACACGATTTTCCGAGAATTGTGCTACCTGAAATGTACCTTTATAAACATGTTAAGCATTGAAAAAGAAGGACTTGGTATTCTTCAGTTCAGTCAGCTCTGAGTGGAGAAATCCTGATGATGATGTGCACAAAATGTGTTTGTGACTTGCATCAAATAGAGCTTTAATGTTAATATATGCAGTGCTGTTTTGTAGAACATCCTTGCATTGAGCATTAATTAGCATACATATTTTTTAACTCTTAGATCAAGTAGATGAGGAGCCAAGTTACTACCCAGTTTGGTCAGTCCATTTCTATAAACATTTGGATCCGGAGGGACTTCCTCTCCATGGTCACAATGACTGTGGTGTAGGAGTCGTAGAAGTGACCAATGAGAAGTTAGTCAGTCTAGTGAGCCTGTCAGAGTTCATGCCGTGTGTTCATACAGTCTATGCGTGTGTCCTGCTCGAATGAAATGGCCTGTCAGTGATAGTAGACTATTAATCTCAGGATGGTGGACAGAACGTGTTCACTTTTCTGACAGTGTATTAATATCTGCCGAGCCTTTAATCAGGCCACAATGTCAGGATTATTTTAAGACCTGGCAGAACTGCTGTGCCACTCCTCTCTGGATGAACCAAAGACAGACTGTCCAACATCAGAGACAAAAAATGAGTTCATTACTGTAATTTGGCCTGTCTTTCTCTCCCATCTCTCCTTCTCCACCCCTTTTCCCCTCTTCACCAGGCCTTGTGTCTTAAACACCCATAATAGCGATGCATTACTCCAGTAATAAAGGGCTGTTAGCAAAGCAGACCGCCCACCCTCCATCTGCTGCCTCCCTTGTACACACAGCCACAAAGGCAAGGACAGAAAACAGTCTCCTTCAGGTCACAGAAGATAGATTCTGCTGACCAAGGGCCTCTCTATTGGTTGGGGGTGCGGGGGGGTGGATGTGGAATGAGGCATGGTACAACTGTTTTCATTAATCACTGTCGCAGGGAAAGAAGCTAATAGAAGGCAGGAAAAGGAAACACAGACCACCATGTTCACTGGTTTATCCTGTCCTGTCCTCAAAGTGAAATAAAGGCTAGCTCACCCTTTCCTGACCCCAGGCAGCAGCACAAACACAGAGAGGCTGGACAGTATGAACATAAATAGACTAGTCTCCTGCTTCTATTTGTTGTTGTTTTTTTTTCATCACAAGAAATTTATTACCAGTGGGAAAGAGACTGGGGGCAAAACTAGGATGCTATATAACCAGGAACCAGGAATGAAAATACTTTAAAATGAGATTTTATTTTTAAACGTTGTGCTCGTAAGGGAGGGAAATACTTGCACTAAGGATGTATTTTCTTTTCTTTTTATTGCTGGGTTTATATCTTGATGATTGACCATTTTTTTTTCAATTTTACATGATGACATAATGCTGTTCTCCTGGTAACAAACATTAAGCCCGGACTGTTTTGTGGTATGTCTGTGTTGACAGCATTATCAAATCAAGTTTATTTTAAAGCACATTTAAAAACAACCCGAGTCGACCAAAGTGCTGCATTATAGCCCTTTTATCTTTTTTTATGCTACTGTGAGAAGTCATTCCTGCTGTTTTGTTGTCATGCATTTGAGATTACGGGTTGTGTCTTTGTTCTTCCTGTTCTAAGTCATCCGTTAAAGCCTCTGTTGGAGTGTCACTACTGATAAAGCTGTTTACACAGGTGACACATTTTGCTGTTTCTAGCTCTAGTTGTGAGTGTGAAAAGACTGTGTTCAGTCAACGCGTGACATCTGGGTGTCGGTCAGCAGACTGTCATAGTCACCTCTGCTCCCTTCCTTGGCTGGGAAATAAACCTAAAATAGATTTTGCTTGACTAGAGAAACCTAAAATAAATATCCGGCTGCAAGAGAAGCAGATACTGGGAACATAATTTTTCCAAGATTCTTTGTTTGTTTTGGCGGCAGGATCTCTCTCATGGTGTCTTGGGGCGATGGATATTTCATGCTTGATGCAGTAGATTCAGCAGAGATTGAGACAAAGTATTATCAAATTTACACTTCACCAAATCTAGACATTTAGACTTTATATAGTGGAAGATTTTCAGAAAAAATCCCTGCTTATACTAGCACATTGGCATACATGTGTACGATTCAAGCACCAAATTTTGAATGGGAGAGATGGTTTTTGTAAATCTACCTCCTTGGCCTTCGCGGACACAGACGCTGTCTGTATTGAAGATGAGTGCTGTTGGCATTGTTCACTACACTGCAGCCTGGCAGATATTCCATTATTCACAGTTCGCCAACTGTAACAGACAAACATATTTCCCAGAACAGTTCTTGCCGCTACATTATGCATCCACATGACACAACACAGTATCTTGTGCTGTCCCTTCTAAGCCGTGTGTTAAATACAGTGACACTGCTTGTGAATGAAGCTGTGTTCATAACTGTAGCAGTCTGTAACAGGAAAGAGGATTGTGGATGGTTTGGAAGTAGACCTAACTGAAAAGGTATCACTATCAATCTACTACACATTTGGGTCATGCATGCATTAACCTGCATTTGACCTAGTCAGAAGCATATATACTTTATTATTACAATGTTTCCAACTCATCCCGAGTGTATTTGATGTAGTCTGGCTTGTAGCTAATCTTGATGTGGCCCACATTTTTATCTGAAAATAGTTCACCATCCTCCTCAACAGAGAAACGTAAACAGTTGTCTGGAAACACAAACGATCATATTGAAGGCCAGTGGACAGAGCTGAAGCAAAGCTTGGGGGCACACAAATTCATCCTATCATGTTCAAAGTGAAACCTTACAGCTATAACAGGACTTGCCATCTTCAATGAAGCAAAAACCTAGTGCCCTGTTCTCTGTGAAGTGAAGGGTTAACTAGATAACTCATGGGGTTTCAGATGGTTGCAGTACTAGGAGAAGTGAAACATAGAACATGAAAAAAGCATTTAGGTCAATGTTGGAAGTCTAGCCGCCTCTATTACGGCATGGTATGGTCTTCCATGCAGAAGTCAGTGTTTGAGGAGGTGAATTAACTGAAACACCTTACCCCCACCGGACCATAGCATAGGATGTGATCGCTGAGAGAGGGACCTACTTGTGTTTCATGGGGTTGCCCGCTTCCTCTAGGACCTTTGCTTCCAGCGTCAATACAGTCTTTTTTTGTTAGCGTATTTATTACATTGTCCATGTTAAATCCTTTTTACACCAGTAGAAGGAGGCTATATGATCAACCTGGTCCCTATTTTACTAAAGTTTACACATCGCTCATATATAGGGACATTACTCCTGGATAAAAATGCAAACCCTGTGAGTTTGCAGCGTGTGTGTATCTGACATCTGAAATACCCAAGAGGGAACAAAGCTGCTTTCCAAGGACAAGCCGGCCAATGTTTTTACTCTTCTCCTCTCTGTCCTCAGATGTTCAGGTTAATGAATAAAACTGCTGATATCAGCCTTTTGTCGGTTTATTTCCCCAGTTTAACAAGGGGGCAAAGGTAAACTCACACTTTTCACACATTTTCTTTCTTCAAGTTATGTTAGTGGAGTGGACTACAAAGACTCATATTTCAGTGAATTTTGGCTGTAAATTTCTATTTTTTATTTGTTATAGCAAATTTGCCTCATCAGGTCCTTGTTTTCCTTCTATCTAACTACATCAGATAAAAAGGCAAAGTGGCATTGGCGTTGAATATGCAAAACTATCCCTCCTGTATAATTTGCAGGCTTGATGATGCTGCGAGCGGTTGGATCAGATATGGGTACATGTGAACATTTAGCTGAACATCTGCCTCTTGTTGCTGTAATTTGCTTCACCACCATCTGTTAGGCATTGGCTGGAAGCACCAACAAAGATATACATCTATCTTGTTATAAACTCTTCTCAAATACACTAATTAGCCGTATTCGGTGATATGCTCTACATAGTTCCAAAACTAATACAGCCCTACATACCCCTTGGTGGGAGTTTATTACAAGATAACAGGGTACAGAGAATTTAGGTCAGCAGTATGATCATTTTTATAGCTGAACTGAATGTGCTGTTTTTTGGGGGGTCATTTTGAGGAATACAAACTGCTTTTCACTATGTTTTAAATATAACTGTCTCTGTTACAATGTTCTAACCCACTTGCGGTGTGCTAACATTTTCTTCTGTGTTTTTGTTTCTGTGCTATAGATCCAACTCTTCCAGCTGTCGCTCTGCATTGGCGGCACGCTGTGAGAAAAGACTCCACTCCGCTGTGCCTCAGCGCTCCTCAGACACTTGTCCTTGACATCCAAATGCTGCATGTCGATTGTCGTGCCAGCCGCCTTCTGTGAGTTATGACGACGGCTGCTTCATTGACTCAGGAAAGAGGCTCCTCCTCCGCTCAACAGTGAGCAGATCACATGATGTAATGAAGAAGGGTCCTGAAAGTCTGCTCTTCAAGGAGTCTGCCAACAGGATATGAGTATTTTGAGCCCTGGGACGGATAACAAATCGAACCTTGTGGGAATTGTGGGAGGCCCAGAAGAATACTCCAGAGCCATGCAGTCAGAAGATCTATTTGGCAGGAAACTCAAAGCCCTAAATGGTAGCATGGGACCACCAGCCTCCAACATGCAGGGCAAACCTGAATGCGCAGGCAAAACAAATGGTACTCCAGCCATGCCTAAAATGGGCGTCAGGGCAAGGGTGACAGAATGGCCACCAAGGAAAGATGGATGGGACGGGCGGCCTTCACCGAACTATCAGAGTGTGATACCAGTATTTCAGAATGGTCAGCAGGAACATACTGTGGAAATATTGGAACAAGGCGAATCAGTTTGTCTGGAGGTAGACTACTCTGACAAATACACACTGAGTGACCTCCTCAGTCACTCCCCGCTGAAGGGTCTCCATCCTATCCGTCAACGAAGTAACAGTGATGTTACCATTAGTGACATTGACTCTGAGGACATAATGGACCAGAATGCTGTTAATCCCAACACTGGGGCATCGCTGCATCGTGAATACGGCAGCACATCCTCCATTGACCGTCAAGGCCTGGGTGGAGATGGCTTCTTTACCATGCTTAGGGGTTACCGAGTGGACACCCTGGACCACCGTAGCATACCACCTCTGGGTTTCCCTGAGTTGTTGCGCTGTGATGCCTCCCTCTCCCCCAGCCTGCAGACAGCAGCCCAGATTGCCAGGGGTGAGATAGTCCACATTCCAGGCTACGACTACATAGACAGCTCTCTCCTCTATAGCCGGGAACGAGAGAAGTCCTTCATGAGGCGGCTTAAATCGGAATCATCTGAACCTTCTCTGTTCAGGAAACTGCGGACCATAAAGAGTGAGAGTGATGCCTTGCGTCTCTCAATAGAGGATGACCGGCGACCACTCAGCTTCCAAAAATGCTTTGCGCACTATGACGTCCAGAGTGTTCTTTTCAACATCAGCGAGGCGGTGGCAAGCAGAGCTAACCTGAGCCAGAGGAAGAACACCACTACTGGGGCTTCAGCTGCCTCAGCTGGAGTAGGGCCTGGAGTTGGTGGAGTGTCCGGAGGTGGAGTTGTGGCTGGACCCGGAGCAGGGACAGATGGCGGTGCAGCAGGGTGCAGCAGTGGAAATGCCCCCATGTTTGAGTCTCCGCTAGGCAGCAGGGAGGATCTGAACCCCAAGGAGAACTTGGATGCTGATGAGGGGGACGGGAAGAGCAACAGTTTAGTGCTGAGCTGTCCACACTTTCGCAACGAGATTGGTGGTGAGGGCGAGAGGAGGATCTCCCTCTCCAGAGCCAACAGTGCTAGCTACAGTGGTGTGTCAGAAAGCTGCTCTTTTGAATCATCTTTAAGTTCCCACTGCACCAATGCAGGAGTCTCTGTACTGGAGGTGCCCCGAGAAAACCAGCCTATCCACAGGGAGAAGGTCAAACGCTACATCATTGAGCACATTGACCTTGGCGCATACTACTACCACAAGTTCTTCTATGGGAAAGGTAAGGAATGCTTATAATGAATGTGTGATAACAGTGATTATACAGGAAGAGTTAAATGACTCAATTTTGAAGATTGTTAGACTTTCCAGGCCAAATCCATTTCCTTGAAACATGACTACGCTCAATGCTGTGTGAGAGCAAGTTCCCAAATGGAACAGCCTCTGCTCATTGGGTCATATCTTGACGGCCCCGTTAATTTTGTAGGACCAGATGAAATAACGGCCAGAACAATAGCAGGCTTGTGTTGGGTGTGAGGGTGTGTGTTTCAGTTCCTCTGCAGAGGAGTGGTCATGTCCTCCTTGTGATATTGTCCTGAACCCTGCGGAGAAACTGTGATTAGTCATGTGAGAAGAGAGAGGTGAGCGAGAGGGTGTGTTGCAGCTGTTCCCAGTGGGGGCCGCAGGGGTGTGAGGACCCCTCCTATGAAACTTTAGGGTCAGGAAAACTATGCCAAGGTCCCAGGTTCCCTCATTAAAACACCTATGAGACTGACACGGAAAATACCATGCTTACCCCAGCTCATCACCACATTATACATGTATGTTTTTCCCACTGTCTGTGGATCTCTGTTCACTGCTCTCAGCGGATTGAATTACCCATTCTTAAGCCTCCCCAGAAAACAGCTGCTTCACCTTTCACACTGAGAGATGCCTCATCAAAAAGATTCACTGCATTAAAATATTCCTGAGACAATTTCAGATCTGCTCCAATTACAGTATGATTACTGTACTCTGAATATCATTTACCGTGAAATGTTGCCTCACTCACTACCAAAACTGCTGTAGTGTTGTTATGTATTAACCTTTCTATGGTAATGCAGGCCAAATGCCCCGTGCTGCCGTCAGTTTCATTTTGATGTTATAGCTTTTACAGAAGAGGTCTTTTTTTACAGTATGGGGATGTAGCCCTTGCCCTTTTTTCATGAGGTGTTTTATCGGAGAGACAAGTCTGTCATCACCTCTGCTTCACCACAAACACACACACACATAAAAACAGGCACACAATCGCGCGCACACACACAAACATGACAGCGTGTCACCACTTTAGGGAAAGCTTTTATCAACCTGGGCTGAACATTGATCTTATTGATTGCCTGAAGACCTCCTTCCCATAGCAACAGCAGTGTTGCCCCCCATGGCTGCCCTAATGGACACGTTTCATCCACACCCATCCTTGTGTTAATTGCTGAGAGTGAAGGTGAGCACAGAGAAATGTTCCCCATTTAGCAGATGAATGTGAAAACAAACCCTGCATATACATCTGCACACTGATGTTTAAACATCCATGTGAATTAACATTAAGAAAACACATTAGTGGAGATTAGTAGAGACTTTCAAGTGCATTCAGTCAAGACAACATGCCAAAAAAAAAATTATATGGTAAAGTTAAAAATAAGGTAATTTGTTAATTCTACTACAAAAGTAAGCAGATTCCTTTATTTGCTCAGTGTTTTGCCACTTTACATCTGTCATAAGTAAGAACGATGGAAAGCACTCTGGCGTGGACTCTGGATGGATGGATGATGGGTTCTTGTCAGAACATATCTTTGCTGCCCAGTAGTCATCACTGGGCAGTCTGGGACTGGGTTGCGGCTGGGTCGCTGATAATTCCTTATGTAAACCGTGTCTTATATGGAGATATGTGACCTCAAATTAAGTTTTAGTGCCACAAATGTAAAAAGTAAGGCCATAGAGTGTAGGACTTGGTACTGTAGACTTTGAAGGCATTTCTGAAGTGTGGAGTGACACACGGGAAAGAGGCATTATTTGCCAACGGATGAAAAATGGATGACTTTGATTTGTCATGTCAAATTGTCAACACAAAGTCATGAGGACCAGTGACATGTTATATAAATGTCTCGACAAAAGACTTTACAATCGACACTGTCTCCCTCACTGTGCCGTCGGTAGCCGGATCTCTTGTGCCCTCACATACATAGGCAGCCCTCCTACCACCATTGACCTTATGTGTCACAGAGCATTTCCCCTCAGTCCACTGTCCCTGAAAAGCCATGTATTCCTCAGACGGTTAATCCCGCACTGCCGACATACAGTAAATTTATTATTCATGCTGATCCGTTCTTTGCCCAAAAATTAATGCCACAATGACAAGAATCAGAGTATTTACATTGCATGCACTGCATGGATGCAATGTCTAAACGTCTGCAGAAATCTCTTTGGGAATGTCAGTGCTTTGAGTCCCTGCTGAGGTTTTTCTTTTGTTGTCTGCTGAATCCAGGTCTTTCTCCCCAGCTTTACCCTGGATTAGGGAGTGTTTGCACACAAAAAGTATTTCCCTGAGCAAAGCCCTTCCCCCCTGCCCATGTCCTATACACACACACATAACACTCATACACACATAACTATCTATGTTTTACAATGATACTATATCACAATATTCTCATTAAGTACACTGTATTTGTAATGTCTTATTTAGGCGGTTACTACTTTTTATTTATTAAGACGGAAATTAGTAATGGATCTATAATGCTTAAAACAAACAAGACTAAAGGTCTAGAGCCCTGCTAGCCCCCCTAGTGTTTATTACATTTATCACTATAACTCACAATACAAACCTGCAGGAAAGAAGGAACACCACATGGCAACTCTGCCATGTGGTGCCAGTCTGGTGTGTAACTGTCATCTAACTATGTATCAATCCGGCCTTTAAACTTCAACATGACTTATTCTTGACTGAATTGTTCAGTCAGCATCAACATCCACAGGCCCTGGGTTTTGAACAAAGTCCATAAGTTGGTTTGTCAATCCCTCAAATGTCAGAAAGTGTTCTGCTTATGTTCCACTAAAGGACAAAAATACTCTGAGCCTGACCAGAGGGGACATCCTGGTGGCCTAGTGGGTTATGGCACATACCATGTAACTACTTTGTCCTATGTTTAAATGTAGCCAGGAGTCTGTATCCTTGTCTGTCTCTCCCAATATATTCTTCTTCCTGCACAGTCTATAGAATGACAGCAGTATGCCTATGTCTAACCGTGGTGGTGTGAGTCCAGATACAAAAAGCCCCAATAAATTCATCACTCAAGTCTATTTCTGTGTACTGATGACAATTTTCACAACTTTGCAAGATTTCTTGGAACTAGAGGTTTTTCAGTTCATTGAAGTTGATGTCAACTCAGAGCACATAATGTGATGTCTGCTGTGTGTAGATAACTCCGATCTTTCTTGCTCGACCTGCAGAACATCAAAACTATTTTGGCGTAGATGACAATCTGGGCCCTGTGGCAGTCAGTGTCCGCAGGGAGCGACTGGACGATGGGAAGGAGAAAGATGGAATGCAGTACAATTATCGAGTCACCTTCAGAACAAGTCAGGTAAATATCATACACCAATGTGCACTTTTACTGTCCTGCTTATTGTCAGATTAGCCTTGAACTATTACAGATGCATGGCACAGCAAACCTGCGTGATTTCCAACGCTCTATTAAAGAATTGACTTACAAGCCAGAACATTCTTTTAAAGGATATTTCATGCTTTTAAATGATATTTCTCATATATTGCATTCAGCCTGACATGTTAAGGTCACTCAGTTCGGGGCTCAGTCAAGCAGTACAAGAGTGTAGGGATGCTTCAGTACCCCTGAAAACAAGAGGAGGAATCTGCTCCTAGTACCCTAATGTGTCCAGTGATTCTTTGTCAGTTGTGACTCAGTTGGCCAGTCATGCAAACACTGAGGCAGTCTATCAGAATCGGTGGGATCGTCCTCGCTCGCTCACACTCTCACACATCCACGCGTGCACGCATATGCACGCGCGTGTACACACAGCATGATTAATCCACAAACTGGGATGCACAGTCTCCCAGAAGCCTTTCCTTGATTGATGCTGGGTGGTCTCATTCACTGAATAATTCAGGTGCAACAGATGTGTCAGGCAGGGAAATGTCACTGATATCCAGTGCCATTCTTGGTTTAAAGCACCACTCCCACGATAAAACAATGTATCTGGGTCATGGTGGCCCTGCAAGTAGCACGCAGAAAATGTTTTAACTCCCCAACCACTGGAGCGTCTATTTGCATGTACTCATATCATTTAGCATCAGCGCTCTCTGTCCCACTCTCACTCTCCTTTCCTCTCTGAGTCTGTTAAGTAATCTGCTTTTCAGAAAGCATCTCTGTCGGACAGCCATTGACTGCTGACATTCATGTCCACAGGCTGAGTGGATGGAAATGGGATTTACGGGCATAAATGTGTCTGACATTCCAAACAACAACACAGAGTGGGTGTTTTGAAACTGTTTGGGTCAACGTTTACTGGCACATTAATGATCTTAATAGTAAAATACCACTTAACATCTAGTGCTTAATCTTAATTATTTAGAATGTGAGCTCCTAATGCCTTCCAATGGAGCCACTGCCCTAATTAATATGGCATAACATAAAAGGATTATCACTGGCTCACACAGCAGATAGCATACAGTATAAGCCTGGTTTTCAATTTGAACATTTTGAAATAATATATAATGGCCCAAGCAAAGTGCGGACTATGAGATCCAAATGAATGGAAAGCACTGATTCACAGGTATATTAAATGGGAAGTGCGCACATGCGACTGAGCACATCAAGACCTAACAAGACAAACGGAAGACAGTTGACTTAACTGGTGAAACTTCACCATCGGTCAATTTTTTTCAGCTGACCACACTACGTGGAGCAATCCTAGAGGACGCCATTCCATCTACTGCAAGACATGGGACGGCCCGCGGCCTGCCGCTGAAAGAGGTGCTCGAATATGTCATCCCTGAGCTTAATATCCAGTGTCTGAGGCTTGCCCTCAACTCCCCCAAGGTCCCGGAGCAGCTACTCAAGTTGGACGAGCAGGGGGTGAGTACACTGAGATGTCCTCAATGTGCCACCACAGTGTCCTGATGATTGTTGAGCAGCACTGCAGCACTGGACCAATCTGCGGTTAAGTGTCTTGAAAAGGGAAATTTGTCGAACGGTAGTTATTAAAGGAATAGTACGACATTTTGGTAAATGCGTCTGTTTACTCTTTGTACAAAAGGCACAATGTAAAAACTAAAATTTGTTGTTTTATGGGGTTCGGGTTATGTTATATGCAGGATTAATACTTGTCTGGATGAAATGACTTGAGTCTTTTCATCACTGTGAGGTTGCCAGGCAACCAGTGGAGACTCCAGGAAGTCACTGCGTTCAGATAAGAAATGGTACGCCACGTAAACCCTTCAAAACTATTTTTTTCTTATTACACTTCGGGTTTTATGTGGATGAAACAAACGAGATATAGCGTGATAATTACTGAACTTTCAAGGTGCCAGTAGATGGTTTTTGTTACTTTCCCACAGAGCAAGGCTATCTGTTTCCCCCTTTATGCTAAGCTAACCAGCTGCTTGCTGTAGCGGCAGATATGAGAGCGATATAAATCATCTCATCTTACTCTTTGTAAATAAGCATATTTACCAAAATAAGGAACTATTCCTTGAAGCCGTAGCCTCCTCCGCACAGATTTTCCAATACAGTAGTTTCATTTTAAAACCATCACTGCCAAATTCAGTGTTATGAATAATGTTTCCGAATGATGGGCTGTATTGATATTAAAGTATGGATTTTTTTAAAGGTATAATCTGTCTCTGTTTCTGACATTTGCGTCAGATATACATGCAAACGGGAGCAATTAACTTCAAATAGCAGGAACCTTTTATCCCATATGTGGGTTGCTTATTATAGATGAACACAGACTCACTGTTGGAGCCACAAGACTGCCAATATCACACTTGGATTCAAAAGAATCAATATGAATCCCACACTCTCTGTAGCTAGCATCGACTACTTTGACACACATTTTCTGCTGATAGGACACTCAAGCTAAAGTAACTCACTTTTGACAACTTACTTATCTGGGAGCAGGTGATTTGGTATTCTGCCTGAATGGTGGTAAATGTCATCTTGCATTATCTCTGTTTGAATAAAATGGCTGTTAGTGGTATGGGCTATTTTTGCATGTGTCAGAAATAGAATCATTGTGTGATCTTAAGGCCTTTCATTTCTCATCTAATGAAAATGCAGGATGGAAAGGAGCAGTGGGGGATTAGCTAGTGCGGTATTGCTTATTTTACTATCAGAGAATTGGCTGCTTATTAGTGTAATTACATTCATTAGCATGAGCCTATCCTTCCGATTGACAGGGGAAAGGCTCTTATAATAGAAAGTGTCAGCCATGTCCCTCTTGTATATTAAGGTTGTGTTACTCACACAAACAAGAGCAGTGTAGTGTCCTCTCTAACGCAAGTTAAATGCACTTAAGACGATGACAGACTTTGTGTATCCAATTATTACAAAGTAACTTTGTAAGTAAGTGCTCTAGGAAGTTCTTCCTGCCAGATCTGAAGGAGCTGATACGGGAGATTATTCATCTTCCGCACCTCTACTCCCCATGGCTTTGGTATTAGAGACTGTCTTCAGATACAGACTTTGATAAAACACTGAAACTGACACATGGTTGGGGGGGTGCAATAAAGTAATCTAAGAAACTTCTTTCAGAGGAGGAGAGCCCAGGATAAGTGGGGCTTAAAGCTCTTCCAACTGGCACTCCTCCTCACAGACCTCAAACCAAACGCCCAGTGGAGGCCAGTTTTATATTTGGACATCAGTATTTTTGTACTCTCCTGTTTTAATCATTAATGTTGCACTTGCCGTGTTTAATATGCCAAGCACCCCGTAATCTTCTTTTTAACCAAGCTGGACTTTCACCGCCCAGTGCATGTGTTTATGAGAGGAAGCTAATATTGGACAGGAAGAACTGCAGCTCTCAACCGAGAACTAGAGTAGTCTGCCAGGCCTGTTGTTTGTTTATTTGAGTGCATCATTTTCTTCTACCGCATGCAGAAAGCTTTATCTGAGGATTTTTTTTGTGTGTATGCACACTGTAGAGGATTCCTCTGTTTTTGTGTTGGAGTGTGCATATGTGTGTGAAAAGCCTTCTTTTTTTGCCGTGAACAGAAAGCACGCCTGGGGGACTGGGAGTATCCTGGAGCTAGACAGCCTTCACAATATCCTCATGATCAGTTCTGCAGAAAGAATATCCATGAAAGCAGTGTTGTAGACTGTGCTGTAATTGTCCTGGATGTAAGAAGAGAACAGAGCATATGTGAATGTATTTTAGATCACATTGTAGATCACAGTGAACCGACAGTGTGCAGATAGATTGGGAAAAGCATTAGGCAGTTAGTCAGAGTTTGAGATGTGATTTTAGGTGATAGAAAACACAAAAGATAACATTTTCTAAGAAAGCAATTGATGTAAAATGCCTATATATCTGTTATTTCCATCTAAAGACTAAAATCTGGAATATGACATAATTTAATAGAAACGGTTTTATCAGCTGCATCGGTTTCAGAATTAAAAGTGTCATTTTAAGCTTTAATTTATAATTCATGATAATAAAAGCAGGGATCTGAACAAGATAATGGCTCGCCTGCAGGTGTCTGCATGGTCTCTTTTAAAAATGTAACTACACATAATGGTGTGTGGTGATGGTAAGACAATATTGAAGAGGTCAGAGAAAGGCTACTATTCTTTCCCTCTCAGTAATGCTGAACAAACAACCTTCTTCCTGACCTAGAAAACTATTTTCAATGCGGTGCATTGTATCAAAAGGTGAACAAAGAATAAATGCATGCTACTGCTCAATTGTCTATCAAGTTTTGCAGCTGTCTTACAATAGTCAACAGGTAAAGCCTTTGCAGGATAATAAATCATTCCTGATGCCCACAGCAACAGTCCAACTCTGAAGTATAATTCAGTCTTAAATGAAATTCGTTCCACAAGTTCAAGAGAATCTACCACCTACTGGTCTAGGCTGTTGCAGAGCCAAAAAAAAATCACTTCTCCCTTATGTAAATTAATCTCCCCCTGTCATAATATTGAAACTTGAGGACTGACTTGGTGAAATTATGTAGTGACCAGAATTTGTTCCCCCCTCATCTACATTCCATGTTCCCCTTTTTTAGATATTGTTGCTGTGGAACTTAAACGCTTCTGCCCCAAAACAGCAATAGATGTTTGTGTAATGGTGCATGATGATTGTAACCAGGTTTCAGGAGCCGCATTTTTGGATTTTTGCTGCATCGGGACGCTGCAGTGCAGACAGATGTCACAGTGATGTTGTGTGTTGTGTTAGGACACTGCTGTATCCCTCAGGTGCATCCCGGAGCTCTCCAAGGGGAACGTTGTCCTCATTTCTCTCTCCGCTCATTTGGTCTCTTTCCATCTTTGCATTTTATAGTTGTTGTTTTTTTGTTAAAGAGAAGGAGTGTTTTCAGTACCCTCCAGCTCTGTACAGATAGAGGGAGAGGAAAATTGAAGAAAAAGATATAGAAAGAGAGACAAAATTACTGCTTTCTATCAACTTATTGCTCCGATTTATAGCAAGTGGAATATTTTAGCTAATCACAGATGCGTTAAATGGGATATAGCTGATGCGACCACAAAACACATCAAAGGTGGTTACAAAATGAGCTTCACCTCAGGAGTCTTACTCATCTGTATACGTGTGATGTGTTTGCACTTTTCTGTTAGCACCAAATTTGCACCAAAGGGCAATGCGATTGTCCTTGCCGTCGGCCAGTCTGTTAAGAGGAGCAGGAGGTTAAGTGAGTCCACATAATGCATGATGAAAAATAGAAGACCACATCACTGCACATCATGCCTTTTCCACTGTGCTTGATGGTATAATAGTTCACTGCAGGATCTTTAGTGCAGAGCAGCCTGCCTGATAGAGGAAGTCATTATGGCAACAGTGTCAGGAGCACACCGTGAACCTGTAACGGAGAAAAAAGACAGTTCCACTTTGTTTCTGGTATATAGATCATTTGCTGGCATTCACATTCTGAGAAACCTTTTCGTCTGGCTTATTGACACATTCACCCAGGTTAAAGATTTCACTGTTAACAGCTGTGAATATTGGACCACCACCCCCACCAACCCCCCCGACTCTTCTTTTTTGGGCCAGCATCAGGGAGCTGTAAGCCATAAAAGATTCACGTCGGTGGAGAGAGCTCTCACTCTCACCTTGCAAGAACAATCACTCCGGATGTTTTATTTCTTCCTGTCTCTTCCTGAGACAAGTTCATATCAGGCCTGTCATTTCTGCATAATATTAATGCTTGCAGTGTTAAAACCTGTGAGATCTGGTTGGTATATGTCTATGAATACTCCTCGTTATGAATTAGACATTTATCGTTATTGACGCTCTCTTTGTTGAGCAATGACTGAATCAAGAGTATTTTTACTGGGGTGTTAGGAGATCAATGTTGTTGCCATTCAATGCCTCTTAGTAGTATTTCACTGCTACAATGAGGACAAACACAAGTATTGTTTAAGGAAGTCTCTTTTTTTTTTTTTTTTTTTTTTTTTAGCAAGGATTAAAATGCAATTCCTGGCAGCTTATAGAGTTTTCTGCCATAAACCAAAGCTATCCTGCCATATTTCTGTAATTCATTCTTTTGTTGCCCTATAGCTGCTCTTATGTTGCAGTTATTAGCTCGTCTTGATTTATACTCTGCTCAGAGCTCCTGAGAGTTCATGGCCTGACTTCACAAAGGGGGATTTCAGCTCTTACCTAGAAGGGTTATGAAGGCCTCCACGTTAGCTGTGACATGATGGAAGGCACTCGCATGCTTTGAGTGCATAATGTACAGTATGTATGAGTGGGATGTGTGATACATATCAGCGACAGGAAACGATACTTATTCACTGAGTGTCTGTGTCTGTGTATGTTTCTCATTCCAGCTAAGCTTCCAGCACAAGGTGGGAGTGCTTTACTGCAAGGCGGGCCAGAGCACAGAAGAGGAGATGTACAACAACGAGAGTGCTGGACCAGCACTGGAGGAGTTCCTGGATCTGCTCGGCCAGAGGGTGCGCCTCAAAGGCTTCACCAAGTACAGAGCTCAGCTGGATAACAAGAGTGAGATAAAACACACATTACACGCATATCAAACTAAACATTCCCAAAGTGCAAGTCCACACACTTCTAATCCTGCTGAGTGCAGATACTCTGTTCTGTTTCATAGTGCTTAATGTTTTTTAAGCCTATATATCTTTAAAATTGACATCTGTTCAGTTACATCATCAGCTTATCTAATACAGTGGCCCTTTTATAATGAGGCCTGAGACCTTTACTTGCCTGACCTGTGTTGCAGCGGACTCCACAGGGACGCATTCTCTCTACACCACATATAAGGACTATGAGCTGATGTTTCACGTCTCCACCATGCTCCCCTACACACCCAACAACAGACAGCAGGTCAGTAAACTCCACACACTCTATCCTGTCCAGCCGACCACCATGTTTTCTTTACTGTGTGGTCAGCCAGAGTCTAATGGGGATAATGGTGGTCCCTGACCAGCTTTCTTTGAGGATATCTTCAATCCGGACTCCTTTCCGTCTTCCCTAGTTACTCATTTTTCCACGGCAATGACTTATCAGTTGAGAGCATGAACATTGCCATGGTAACTGTACCCCATAGTAGGATTTTAATCAATGCCTCCCCAGGGGCTGGACCTGACGTGATATTAGATGGGCTTCCGTGTCTGTACTAACAAGTGGAATTAAGTGGATGTAGTGGTGGACTGGAGAGCAATGGTCCGATAAAGCAATAACCGATAAAGAGGTTCACCATCTTAGTCTCTTCACTGCTTGTATGGGAGTACTTTTTGAGCCCATAATAACAACATGTGGGTTCATCTGGTAAGTGTGTCAGAGGCAGGATGTACAGTGAAACACTGCAGAGACCCAAATCTATCACGTGCATCTAAAAAGTCAGATAGGCAGGATTGGGGTGGGGGGTTCTTTCACTTTCTTCTCCTCCAATTGTATTTCATGAATTGGGATAATTAAATTTAATCCCTGGTGCTAATCTTCTAGCAGGCCAAAGCAGAGCTCACCTCACTCATCCATTCATCCTTTCCAATTCACCTCTGGACCCTCTAATCCTGCTTGTTTCAGGCTCTTGCTGACCCTCGGTGACAACTTTATAGCAGCCAAAGAATGAGGTTAACTATCTGCACAATCCAACAATACAAGCAGTCTAAATTGGGTTTGGGGGAATATATGTCCTTCACCCAAAAAAGCCCTTTATTTTGAGGTCAAACATAACATTTCAGAATCAAGACACGAAGCTGTATCGCTTAGTAAATCTGCAGTTGTGTTTAGAGCTCTGTAAATAGTTTGGCGTTGTGCTCGGTGTGGTGCTGGTACTGATGCCACAGACATTACATGGAATTTGTCACTTGACATTAAATTGTTATGGGGATTTCCTTGACTTGTGCACTCACATGCTTTCAGAGTGGGAAGAATCAACCTGCTCAAGTGGTGTTCTCCTGCAGAGTTTGGCCCAAGATGGTTTAGCTACGCCTTAAAGCATCACAGTGTAACACATTCTCCCTATAATAAAACATTTACTACATAAGCAGAATGCCTTTTGAATGCCTTTGTCTTCTCTACTTGTACTTTGTTTTGTCATTTACCCAAATCCTATCATTTTCACTCATGGCCTTTTGTTTAATAAAACCTACATATATAGTCCCTCTTTAAAACAAAAAAAAGAGAATGGGTTTCATTTTAAACTTAATCTTAAAGAATGAATGGTCATAAATCTGTTTACACTATGGTACAATATTCACCCTTCATGTGATGCCTTTTCCTTGTATTTGACTCAAATTTCTCCCTCCTTTCTTAGTTATTAAGGAAGAGGCACATTGGCAATGACATCGTCACCATAGTATTCCAGGAGCCCGGAGCCCTTCCTTTCACTCCAAAACACATCCGCTCTCATTTCCAACATGTGTTTGTTATCGTCAAAGTCCACAACCCCTGCACTGATAACGTCTGCTACAGGTAAATAGAACAAGCACACACCACACCTGCAAGGCTCTCCTTACCCTGGGATAAGAAGCAAATAATAATAATATCCTCAAGACAGTTTAGGGGGATGTGTTTCTTTTGGTATGCTTCGCATACATGTCTTCATGCCAAATTGCTCTACATGAACTTTTAAGAGTACTTAATTTGAAAGAATAATAATAGCCTGCTGAGTGCTTTCTGTGGTTTCTGTCATGCCTTCATAGTAATGTGCAGGAATCGCAATGCTCTTTTGATCTGTTCAGTGATGATACAGTTATTATCTTCAGAGACACCTTGAAATTATGACTTACAACTCTCTCCTCGAGTGTTTCTGAAGTCAAGATGACTCTTGTTAATAACATAGCATTTGTTAAATAGAGCAAGATTAGTCTGAGCTCCTCTCAGTCTTCCCACCAGAAATAATTTCCCCGAAAGGCATGTAATTCCAACACTCATATGGCTGCTCATTATACATACAGTTCAATACTCCTTCACTTGTTTAAGTTCCTCTTAACTGTCATCACTACATTTGCTTTATTGATTCCATACTGTTTTCCAGCGTGGCCGTGTCCAGATCTAAAGATGTGCCTCCTTTTGGCCCTCCTATTCCCAAGTCTGTAACTTTCCCAAAGTCAGCAGTTTTCAGGGACTTTCTGCTTGCCAAGGTCATCAATGGAGAAAATGCAGCACACAAGTCAGAGAAGTTCCGAGCCATGGCAACTCGTACGCGGCAGGAGTACCTGAAGGACCTGGCTGAGAACTTTGTTAGTACAGCTACTATTGACAATGCTGTCAAATTCAGCTTCATCACCCTCGGAGCCAAAAAGAAGGAGAAGGTGAAACCCAGGAAGGATGCACATCTGTTCAGTGTGGGAGCCATCACCTGGAGCGTCCGTGCCCGGGACTTTGGCCAGTCAATGGACGTGGACTGCTTGCTCGGCATATCCAATGAGTTTATTGTGCTCATCGAGGAAGAATCAAAAAATGTGGTCTTCAACTGCTCTTGTCGTGACGTCATTGGATGGACCTCAGGGATTATGAGCATTAAGATCTTCTATGAGCGCGGGGAGTGTATTATGCTGTCGGCCCACGACAACTGCGGAGAAGACATCAGGGAGATGGTGCAAAGACTAGAGGTAAGATCCTTGAAATAATCTGTCATCTTAGAGGTGTAGTATGATTCTCACAGTCCTTGCTATTGCCACTTTGTTGTCACCTGATTAAATAGCTTCTAAGTTTATGAAAACATCCTTCTAGAAGTTTTAGCCCCAATATCTAATAATGTTTTCAAAAGGAGTTCACCAGTATGTCCTGCCCATAAAGTGACTCCCATGAAACATGGAGTAGTCTGTCATCAGAATTGCCCAGTAAATCTATTATGAGTTTTCACACATAAGCTGCATGGCATATGCAGGAAAACGGCTGCTTACTTTAAATGGCGTAGTGAGGCATTTTTTCTTTGGGATCGTTGCGGTCTCTCTGCGGTAAAACAATGCATTCTCTAAATATTGCTGTTGCCATCGTAGCTTTACTACTTACCACAAACCTTGTTATTTTATTTTCATCATTATGTCAGCAGAACCGTTGCTTGTTTAACCTACATCTATCCTGTCAAGTCTCATATGTTGCAACTCTATACTGAGATTTCAGTATTTGATTTTCTTTCCTTCTTTCACTGCCTTTTTCCATAACATTGTAAGAATACATAAACTAAACCGTATGTGTTTTACTTTCTCCTCGTCTGTCTCCCTGTTCCTCTTTCTGTTGTACAGAGACAGGTGTGTCAAGTCCAGAGAGTATTATAGACCTCCTGTTGATAGCTTCCTTTAGCTCATCACACAGAATCAGCAGAGATGTACATTCAAACATTTAAGTACAGATGTTGTTTTTGCACTTGATCAGGATAAACCATTATGAAACATCACAGCACTTTAATAAAAAAAAAACAAAACCAAGCCGGAGCTGCTCCTCGCTGCAGACCGTTAATTTAATGGAGTGAAAGATTAGCGATGATGCGATTGTGGCCCAGTCTTGATTTTGCGGATTTCTGGGTGCAGGTACAGGAGGAGGCAGCTTAAACAGGACACCAACCCAGTTTTGAAGAGGAAACAGACACATTTTTGGGTCTGACAGACTAAGAATAGAGGACACTTGGCCTCAGACTGCTTCACTCCTATGGAGAGCTACCCACTCAGTCCAAGTTGTCTCATCCCCATTTTGTAGTTCTGCCTTTTCCATCTCTGTGCTCCCGATTACTTTGTGTGATTTTTGGGGGCAGTCGACTCTTATCTACCTTCAAGTTCAGAAAAAGTAGGTCAAAACACCTGGTTCCTCAGCCTGGACACTGGCATCCAATGCCTTGTTTCCGCTCCTTGTGTTGCTGCATAGGCTTGCTTTTCCTGTTCTAGTTTCCATCATTTGTTTGCTGAACGTCTAATCAGGCAACCTTTTGTTTCATTTAAATAACATTGATGTTGAATCCCAAAATCCAAACCTGAGCTGTGCATGACCTTATTTCTGCCTGCATACTCTCCTCCACTTATCCCTTTGGCAACAGTGTTGAAAATTCCAACAGCCCCTAGCTAGCATATCAATGATTTAGCCAACAATCATTTCTGCTAAAAACATGAACAAGAAACCTCAGTCTTCTGAGGATTATGAGGCAGAAATAACTGCACATTTTTTTATTATCACATTTTACAATGAACTACTTTATGAAGAGCTCAGAAAGGAGGATGAATGAAAGTAAACATGTACATGGGCACAAAGGTCTTGCATAGCACAACCACCTCAAAAACCGCCCAAGATCCTGAAGAAGTATTTACCATAATTAATCTTAAAAGGACATGGATGTCATTCAGTGTCTACTCCACTCATCATAAGAAAGGACAGAGCAGGATATATTAGCATTTGTGATTAGCCAAAGGACATCAGTTCCTCATTAACTATGCTAATATCCTGTCACACTTACTGTCCACTTACCCATGGGATTTGTGAGGGATATTTCACAGGAAAAGCTCAGAATAAGTATTAATAAGTGGGTGGCTATTTGTGGTCCTCACACAGACAGTGGAGCAGCAGCAGCAATTGGCACATTTGGGTATGAGCTGACTATGCATGCTTTGTCCCAAAGGTGTCCATAATGTCTCAGAGGTTGACTCGAATCATGTTTCATTGGGAGGATTTACAGGCTGCCGGACCTGTGATGTAATGTGAACCAGAGAGAACAGATTGCCCACTGTAACTCACAGAGGACCCCAGTGTGGGAGCACAACTAAAAGCTTTGTGATAACATCCTGCTCTCCGGGGTATAGCTGGGCCGGGTGGCCGTGTGTTCTGCTTTTATGAGACAAGTCATCTCGGCTTGGGTGCCACTGCCATATATGCTATTTTTCTTTTTTGGTTTCCTGAACAATGTACAGGCAGTCTCTCACATTTTGTGTGTGTGTGTGTGTGTGTGAAAATTTTTGGGGCTGCAACAAACAGTTTATTTTCATTATTGATAAATCATTTGGTCCTTTATTGTATTCAATGTCCAAAAGTAGTTTTAAAAAAAACTTGTTGTCCTACCAACACTCAAAAATCTAAAAACATCATATTTACTATTATATATATATAACAGAGAAAAGCAGCAAAATCTCATCCACATTTAACATTGTTGCTTAATTAACAATTTAAATGATTAATAGATTGCCATATTTGTTATTGATTCATTTCCTGTCAATCACCTAATCAATTAATCATAACTAGTCGGTACCATTTTGAGGTTTTATGAGTAACTGCTAGCATTAATGTCTTGCTAGGGCTACTGTTGTCCAAATTAAGCAAAATTGTCCACTGTAGATTTACATATTGATTCCTGTGAGTATCACAGATACACAGCTCAGAGGAAACGAGTGGCCCTGGTTTTTACCAATAAATGCTTCAGCGAGTTCAGTGAGTGTCATCAGTGTCATCATTGTCAAAGCTGCTTCTGGCTGTCAGACCTCTCACTGACGCCCTCAACACAACTTGACAACAGATTTGAGGCTGATTCGTCGGGGCACTGTCTTAGTTTTATGTCTCCAGTCGTTCGAGTCCATCATTGGGAAACACTGGACAAGAAACGCATGCACATCCGCGCTACCATCCTTCATGTCACCATCCTTATCTAAATAACTTTACTGACCACAAATTCCTCCTGTGAGATAAAGTGTGTCCTGTTAGATTCAGCCATTATGGATTCTAGCCATTTAAAGGAGAACCTGGATACATACATTTTCTGGATGGACTGAATGAAGGGCTTTGATGAAGGCATTTAGAAAGCTATTATTTAGGCGTTATGAATTTCTGACAAAGGGCAGTTTGATTCATTGTCCCTTATAACTAGGCCAGTGTCTTCCTCATATTAAGGCCATTTACTTGTAGACTTTGCCCCTATCAGGCTTTTGGACTTTACATTTCCAATTCCTTGATGTTTTATGCAGAGTGATTGTTTATTTTTTGGGTCATCACACCAAAGTGCTCCACCACTTTTGTCTCTCTTTGAAAATGGAATCTTTGAGCCTGTATTTATTGCAAAACTGAGACTTAACTAATGTCACTAACAAGATGAGTACTTTCCTAAATTAATAAAGTTTTAGGGCTGCGTCTAACGATGACATCCATCACAGTTGTCCCGAGTCTCCTCTCACACAGCGGGGTAGGATTTCTGTCAGTATGAGAGTCTGGTGAAGTGTTGACAGGCCGTAGTCTGAGTTAATGTGTCCCTGAAGCCAGCTGCCACTCTCAGGCAAATGGAGGCAGTCACCCACAACTGAACCAAGACTAATCTGGTGGGTGATTAAGGCTCATTGGATGCAGTGTTAGTTTTTTTCCCACTGGTGTCACAAGAAAACTTAAAGGAAACTGTAGATCAGTCACTTTATATGATAAAGGAACATAGATAGTCTACAGTTGTATGTTTCCATCTCTGCTCAGTCTGGTGGTTGCGTGGCTTACTGAAAAATTGCCACAGATGCAAGAGGGTTGCCTGAACTTCAGTTGAACTTGAATTGCATTAAAGCAGAGGCTTAAGCCGGGCCACCGCTGAGCAAAGTGAGCAACTTAATTTGCATTCAAGTACATGATTGGACAAGAACCAACATTAAGTACACCCAAGCATGCAATTGCACAAGTGGCGACTGTCCACCGAGTATCCATGGGGGAAGTCTCAAGTCTCGGGCTGCAAAATTGTGAGAAGAAGGGTGAAGAGTTTTCCTTTTTACACCGGATATGAACAAAGTGTGTTCATCAGCTGCCAGTTGATGCAGATTATGTGTTGATGTATAAATTATGTGCTCCTTTTTAGAAATGAACTCTAGTTAATAGACTTGGTTCCATGGAAACATCCCTGTCTGAGGGGCCAATTTGATCCCACTTCCCCACACAGCACATACAGAGCTTCAGTAGTTAGTCCATAGAGACAGGTGTGTATTTATGTGTGCAGTGTATGTGTGATTTAGCTGTCTCTGTGCAGCTCTGGGGCTAAATTGGTTAGCTCTGTGATGTACCCTGTTATTAACTTCCATTTTGAGAGGTTCTTTGAATTAGCCAAACAAACATGCTCATGCACTTCTGCCTACGGACAGGATTTTTACACTTCTCTAATTGGTTTATTCTTGTGTGCGCATATGTGTGTTTTTTTTGTAATGAAAACCACACACATCTATTAGAAAAAATGCTAATTTTACACTGTTGAAGGATACTTAGCTTAGAAAGCTCTTAAGGATTTTAAGATCACTCAACTTCCAGTTCTTCTCTGTCCGTCTCGTGCTTGTTTTCTGTTTCCTCAGTGGGACTGAGTACAGTCTACTGTCCATTTCCTGTGTTGGACTTTGTTTTCTACTGAAGTGTTTCTAAAGTCCTGCTGTCATTGTGTCTGGATCCGTCATGTACTTTTATTGTAGATAATGAACATATTGATTTTGATTATGGTTCCAGATCACCACCAGAGGTTGCGAGACGTCAGAGATAACTCTGCGTCGGAACAGCCTCGGACAGCTCGGTTTCCATGTCAACTTTGAGGGCATCGTGGCAGATGTGGAGCCGTTTGGCTTCGCGTGGAAGGCAGGGCTGAGGCAGGGCAGCCGATTGGTGGAGATCTGCAAGGTGGCTGTCGCAACTCTCACCCATGAGCAAATGATTGACCTTCTGCGCACATCAGTCAGCGTCAAAGTGGTTATAATCCAGCCTCATGAAGACGGCGCCCCCCGAAGGTAACACCTCACCTTTTTGTTTTCTTATTTTCACTTGGAAAGTCAAATTTTGTAACAACACAAGACTAAAAATGCCTACACAACATATGCCGACTTCCTACTGAATTTTGGCTGTTTGGCTGTGGATAGTGAGACAGAGAAGCAGGTGCTCCTCAGAAATGAATGAATGTAGAACAGAAGAGAAGTTCCCTTTTCTCATTTTTTCATGCAGCTGGGATAAATTAACTTGACATTTGCTCTCATGTTTGAGATGATTAGCATAAAGGAATGCTTACATACTGTTTTTGTTGCACAAGGGTTGATCTAGTTCTCTGCTGATTTCTCTGGAGAGGAGGATCTCTTTGTATTGATGTGGCTTTGTTGCAAGAGAAAGCTCCAGCACGGCTGTAGAGTCACGCAGACATGGACAGTCAGCGTTTCTCACTAATGATAATGAGAGGAGCATTTTGATTAATGACTCATCTCCCACTGCCATTGTCTGACAGCTCACATTTGCAGATTTTTTTTCTAACCCCGCCCAATCTTCTATTCAGCAATTAGGATGGGAGTGTTGACTTTTTAGGAACACACACCCATGGGGAAACTCCATCGCTCCTGTAATAAAAAGAGAGAAGCATATTCCCAACGATCTTTTGTGATGGGAAGAGATGAAGGTCTGTGTAAAATGCTTGTTCTGAAAGCATGTCTGCTTGTTTTGTCTGTGAGAGACAGACAGTCCTGTGAAATCATATCCGTCACTTTTTTCACACTCACATTTTTGACATCTTGGTTATGGTTGTGCTTCAGGCTGACAGATTTGTGTACAAGCAAATCCCGTCCCCACTTGGTCGCAGATAACCACAGCAGAATGACTTGACAATGGGCAGAAAGAATACCTCTCATTCTCATTGTGATGATGCAGGTAATGCCAGTGTTGTTGGCTAGTAATTGAAATTAAAAACCTGTGGACAACAATTAACAAATCAGTTTACATTTATTCTGTGTGTATATTTGTTAACCATGTGCATTTCTAAGGACATAAATAAGTGTTGATCGCTGAAGATTCTATATAAATTGTTGGTGGATGAGGAATTTTAGATTAAATCTGTTTATAGAAGATTAAGTCTCTTGTATATTTTTGGTAAATGATGTTAATAGATAGCTGCCTTCTGTTTGAATATGATCTTAAACAGTGGTGTGTACATGTGTGTCATTATGTCAGGACTGCATAATAGGCACGTGTTTAACTGTGTTTCAACTTTGCGTTCTGGTCTGGCAACAGAGGAGTAACATATTTGCTCCCCCAGATGGTGGGCTAACGTGCATCGTCTGTGAATCCAACACAGCAGCTTCTCTGGCAGAACTGACGTCTAATCCTCTTACCACGATCTGCAATGATACATGGTGATACAATCATAATCAAAGTTCAGGGAAGCAGAAAGCAGACAAAACAACATCTTCCAAAACTATTTCAGTATCGACAAGCGTGTGTCCGGCTCTCTGGTGATGTGTTTTCAGGATAGAGGATTCTGTAAAGGAAGCTTTTGACACAATATTTGAGCCAGTGGAAGACATCTGTCTTGGTTTCACTGACACCACTGAAGCCTGTGAAGGTACTTTAGACAGCCAATAAAAGACGCTTTTAAAAATTCACATGCTACACAGCATTGTACCCAAAAATATGCATTATATCATGCTGTATGTCCATAATGGGAGGCGTTTGACCCAAATGCTAAATGGTGTTGCCAACAGATGCATGTGACAGATAGTAGTAGTATTACAGTAGAAAACTATATTGGTCAGAGCTGTTGAGCTCTACTGGGAGATTCCCCCATCTTACTGAAACACAGCATCTCATCATCATCCCATGAGAACCAAAAGGCTCCGTCTCGGGTCCTGTGAATTTTCTCCCAAAGCTCCAACAAATCAAGAGGTGAGAGGTCAGATGAAGAATCTCGAGGGCCCTCAACTCTTTTCGCTCCTGCGTCTTTGAGTTGATGAAGTGTTGCAGTCAACAATGAGTGCTCCGGTTTCTGAACTATTATCTCAAAGGAAAGGAATTCAGCGGGGGCCCGACGGCCCGGTCAGTCCCCTGTGGCCAGAGAGATGGGGGTTAGTCTAACAACAATGGACAAGAGTCTCATGACCTCCGCACAATGTATCCTGGCTCCATACTGCTACTATGACAAGGAAAAATGTTTTCATAAGCACATGCGGGGGCTAGAAGGAGCGTGTTTCCTCTTTACTGTTTTTTAAGGTGTCAGAATATCATTTAGTCTTTAGTGAATTAAAGAAAAACTGAACATTTAGACCACTGTGTAGCACTGTTTTGCGCCAAACCTCCTAAAGCTACTTATGCCTTAACTGTTTTACCCTGCCCAGCCTGAAGCCTGTGGAGACATGGTAGGCCTCTAATATTAGCCTTACATAGTACTGTATTTATTTACACTGAAGGAAGGATGTGGTTTTAGCCCAGTGCAATGCCAGAGGCTTTCCATCATCACTCTGAAAATCTTTAAACAAGTTCAACATGTTAGCCTTGGATCAAACTAATGACGAAAAGATGAAAAAGATTAGTTCTTTCAAACAGATATGTAATGTACAGAACATGGCGGTGATTGTATGTTTTGGTATGTGGTCATCAGAGATGGAGGCATAAACAAAAGGATCACTACAATATGGACTAAAATGGATTATTACTACAAGGCACACAGTAACGGTAAAAAAAAAAAAAGCAACTGTATTTTCAGAGTAGCAGCCTTTTGTGTGTTTTTTTATTATTATAATATTGTTCAATTCAGTTTTAATCACAAAGACTTACTTTTAAAATGATAGTTCACCCGAATTTGAGGAAGTTCAACCTACAACAGCCCTGTGCTGATAATGAGTATTGCCTGTGACATTCAGATGGCCACTTATGACCTTTCCTTTCAACTGTCATCAAACTTGTCATCATGGATTTTCATCTGGACTGAAGTTAAGCCGGATTTCTCACTTCCCATGCTGACACCCTGTGAAAAAGAGCACAGCTAAACCAAAACTCAGAGAACCCGCATCACAAATTGCTCAGCTAAATCCCCTCACATTCTTCACTGGAGCTGGTCTTTCGTTTTAGATCAGTTTGCAAAGAAAATCACTGAAAGGGGTTTTTCTCTCTTCTTTTTTCCCCTTAATCCTACACACTTTTCAGCACACCTTATTTAATGAACCTCCTGACAATGGTCTGCAAAGTGCTGGTGGGAGGTCACAACCTCTATGGCTCTTTACTGTGACATGGACTCTGACTGTGGGAATGGATTAGCATGTCCCTCAGTCGCTGGCCATGTCATCAGAGTGACAGCACTCTGACTGAGGTCTAAGGTCCTGTTGTCACACTGATCTATTGTAATTTGTTAAGAGCCAATGGCTGAAGGAGCTGATTGTTCACCTCCAACTGGCTAGAAACTGAGCAGAACTTTTTTTTTTTTAAATGAACAATGTGGTTATTTTAGTAATATCACGTCAAGTTCTGGAAGTTGTGTTGTCAAATTATTTCCTCCAATAAGTCCAACATGGCTGTAATTTTAGGTTGACTGGATGTTCTCCTTCCCTGCGAGCTTATGTAGGCCATTGTGGTATAATTTATAGCCCCTCACATTTAGCTGGAAGAGTGCAGCAGCAGTTCTTGGTGGAATCAAGAGCAAGTAGACAGTATTATTTCTCACCAGCTCCTGGCTTCCTCCGCTCCTTATGGCTGGCTGGATGTGTCTAGCAGCCTCTCCTCCGCCACCAGCCTTCAGCTCAGGTTTTACTGTTGACCAAACACCAGTTTCCTGCAGTTTCTTCATGATTTATACACAGTGAGTCCGAGTGCCCCTATACATTACAAACAAGAAGCACATTCCACTTACATCAGGCCAACATGATGGGAATTTCCACTTCTAGCTAAGCTTGTAGGGCTGCTGAGGGAAAATATTAGGATCACTGGAGAAGTTTAGCTTGTCAGCTCTTTGTCATTCTGGTGCAAAAAGCAGACCAAGAGACAACAGCTGAGACCTTTCCTGTTGACAAGCTGTGAGCTACTCAGAGTGTAATGATGTGTAGCACCCTGGCATGACCACACATGCACAGTTAATCAAGGCAATGAGTGGGTTAGCAGACCCTGTTAAAAAACCAATTGACAAACAGTCTGAAGGATTTAACCCTCTTGTTAGCATTGTTTTCTTCTGACATGGACAAAAGTGACTGAAAGACCTCAGGTTACACAACAAAATAAGTAGGATAGTGCTTTTATCTCTTAAACTACCAGTCTCTGAGCACATTGTGCACATTCAGTAGCTTCTTCCAACAATATAAATTTCTTTTTCATTTATGGACACCTCTGATCTTATGATGCTGGAATGCCACTCATTACTCTCACTGTCCCATATATCAATCCAGTGATGCATGCTACATACCTAGAGTAAATAAATATGTAAACTGTGGAGGATGTAGAGCAAACCAACTGACAGTCCATCATGGATGAGGCCAGCTTCCCGATGACATTGACCAGATGATGTGAGAGACGACATGGTGGAGGAGGAGGAGGAAGAAGCGAAGGATGATCTTCTCTTTAGATCATGTTACACCAACAGCTCCAGTTGGAGGTCGGCTGTAAATAGCCCAGCCACCCATGGCCTAGTTTGATGAAAAGGTCTCTCCAAGAGGGATTACGCGTCCCCCCCCCCCCCCCCCCCCCACCGCAGCCTTTGCAATCAGCCAGCTCCTCAAGCTCTGCAGTGTGTACATGTATGACCACAGCAAAGTATACACAGCTTTCCAGCCCCTAGTGGAGTCTGGAAAATGGAGGGGGGTGGCAGTGTAATCGTTAGGGTCATGCTTGGGATCCTTTTGGAGAACTAGCAGAGCACCCAGGCTGTTTAACCCTGACCCACCACCCTGTAAACACTCCGCCCACCCCCCACGCCCCATCCTTCCAAACATACACACCAAGCCTCTGCCTAGCCCCAAAGATTAATGTTGCATGAAATGGCATCACAGGTCCATCCCAGAGATCCTCAGTGTTGTTATCTGTAATGGGATGGAGATGGAGGGAGGAATCTAATCTGGCTCTGGCTAAATATTTCTGACAACATGTGTTTTGGTGTAGTCAGGACAGGTGTGTGATACATATATAGTATAAAGTACTGTAACTGAAAACATTGTACCTGTCTGGTAATGCAGTAGCAGAATGTAATTAATTAAAATTAATGGGCAAAAACATTTAATAAAACATGTAATGTTATTACATTTCTTATTAAAACATTGTAATGTGGATTTATTGGCTAATGCAATAATGAGCCATTAAATTCTTATTTTTATGATTCATTACATAATTAATAATTAATACTTACTCACACTGCTGGGTAATTATTGTGGAATTGTGTGATACTGTAAAATAATAGGATTTAATACGTTAAAGGTATTTGGTCAATGATGTTCTCTATAGTAATTACTGTAACTTTCCATGTAGATTTACATAATGTATTTACATAGATTAAAGCTGCAATATTCAATATTTTTATGTTATGACTATGTGTAATGTGAAAGAAGCTGCTTGTAGTGTTGGATCCACAAAGAATTATCACCCAACTCTGCGGGGCCTCTCATCTCCATGGAGCCTTTTTGCATCTTTTAGCTCAGTGTTAGGTCCACTCTCATCAACCTCACTTCCAGCAGCAACATGCAGCTTTGCTCAGTTCAGATGATCCCACTGTACACTACCTGCTCAGCAGCACCAAACATGACACTGACCAAGTCAGCTACTCTCTGGTTAAAAACAGTGGAGCATTTAGTGGAGCTGCTTACTGTTAAATGCTTGTGGAAAATATTATTTGGAATTAAGTTAAATGAGATTTTAGGCTCTTTTGAAAGGAATGTAAACTGCAATGCAACTGGGATGTTACTGTAGCCTTCTTATCCCAGCCTCATTGTTAACTTTTAACCTTCCACTTTGTGTCCTTCCGTCTCAGGGGCTGCTCCGAGCTCTACCGCATACCAATGGTGGAATACAAGGTCGACAGCGAAGGTACACCCTGCGAATACAAGACACCCTTCAGGAGAAACACCACCTGGCATCGGGTGCCCACAGCTGGTGGAGCACCTCTATCCCGAGGCTCGCCCACACAGGGCCCTGATCGCCTCCAGTGCCAGCAGATCCTTCAGCAGCACCAGGCAGCTATCCCACGAAGCACCTCCTTCGACAGGAAGTTGCCAGATGGGTCCAGGTAAACTATTTTTCCTCTCTCCACTGCCCTTCTTCCCTTATCCTTGTTTTAAAGAACAACTGCAAATTGATTTCCTTGACCACTAGCTGACGATCTCAACTTTCATCGGTCACATGTTATTCAGCAGCTCAACACATGTAGTGGTGTACCATATGTACACATACAATATACATACAATAAGACTAAAATTTAAGCATTACACAGATACCAACTAAAGATGTTAAACTTTTATCTTAGGTGAGAGTAAAAATAACAAAGTAAAACTGTCAATAATATAATAATAATGTTGCTGTAACAGTGGTGTGGAAGATAAGTGGATGCAAAATTGAACAAAGCAAATTAACAAAATTATCCTTTTAAGACATTTTTGGAAGTCAAGCTTTCTACTGAAGGTTTTCCAGAAAGCAAGGCAGAGCAAAGCTTGAGATCAAACATCATGGTGCTCAAAAGATCCAGTCCTCTCAGCCTTTTTAGAAAAGAGCCACAGTAACACTTTGAGTGGCTGTTATTGTGTTCAGTTATTTGCATACATATAAATGGAACATTTTAGTCCAATGAATTCACGGCTTCGCTTTCATCTCCCTTTAGATGATAAGGCCACACTCAGACTTTGTTCCTGTCCTAGACTGTGTCTCTTTTGGACATCTCCATTGAGCCATGTAAAGCAGTGATTTGTTCATTCTAATGAAACCCCTAAAGTCATGATAACCTTTCCAGTGTGTCACACCGACGACCCCCCTCCACACCCCCATTGCCTGTTCTGACTACACTGGGATAATGGCTGCCTTCTCTGCCTAATCAGAGTCCCTGGCAGTGGGAGCACTCCATTCTCCCTCGCTTGTTTCTTCCTCTCTCCGTATCCCTCCTCCTCCCCTCTCCCTCCCTCTTCCTGCACCCTGCTGAGGAGGAGGTGATGGGGGACACTGACACAGCTCAGCTCATCTCATCCAATTACTGCAGAAACAAAGAGAGTGCTCTTCCCTGGACCACGATATGTAGCCACCCAGAGGGAGTGGGAGTAGAGGAGGGGGATAAAGGAGGACTGAAAGGGAGGGAGAGAGACAGGAGGGGAATATTATATTGTCAAATATTCTAGAAAAATAAATCAACATATACATTATATTATTATGGTTTTTTTTTCTTAGCTTATACATGTTGTGTAGAGAAATATGCAGAAGAAATATTGAACATGTGTATACTGTACATCAGTGATTGCCAACCAGGGGGCAATTCTGCAACTTCTGTTAACTTTAAAAGATTCGAATTGATAAAAGATTGAAATAGTTAGTTAGAAGTAATAGATGAAAAGTTGTGACATCCAGACTCTGCCATTCCAAGTGATAATAGTATGAATGCAAACGTGACCAAACTGACCTAAACATGGACATTCGGTTGATTAAAACATTATCGTAACAAAATCCACATTTGTATCATTACCTATTATCACATTAAATAACAACATCATAGTGTTAAATAACAACACTGTGTAAATTCAAATGAACATGTTTGGAACATGACAGGTGGTGGCAGTGAAAGGGTACTTGAGTTCATCCGACAGGGCTGTGAGGGGACGCTTGACAAAAGAGGTAGGGAACCACTGGTCTGTAGGCGCATATGACTCCTGAAATCTTAAATAAAGCATCATTTTCCATCCACACATATAGCTGAATCCAGACTTGGCACCGTAAAATATGACACCTTCTACGCAGCCAACTGAGACAGACTCCTAATCTCTGCAGCCTCAAGTGTTATTGCAGCGCAGAGAGAAAAATTATGTTTAATATCCCTGCCTAACTTTACATTATGTCAAGGGAGGAAGAGAAGGAGAACAAAGAGCAGCTGCCGCTGTTTCACATTAAAGTGCTTGGACCTGGCTGAGGAGACTAAGACTTTAGCTGGGGAGGAAATGTTGCAATATGGCCAAAGCGTTCGATGATGTGTGCTGCCACTGAGTTGCTGACAGTTCAGTGAGTTTCCCATGGAGGTCTAGACGAAAGAATCCTGATGACAAACCAGTAAGGGCTTGATGCTAGGAATTCATCGCCTTTGAAATGGACATTTTATATTGTGATTTTTGAATTATATGGTTCTACTGGATTATTTTTACGAAATGTACCTGGATGATTCTGATATTTGAATGTCTGTCTATGCTTGCAATGCGTTGCTGTTTAGATGTAAGTATTTAAAAGAAAGGAGAAAGTGCACACACTTTGAGACTTCAGCTCTATTGAGACGCAGTCCTGAACTCATTATATAAACAAATACATCAGGAAAAAAAGATGAAAAAAGATAGATGAAAGGTATAGAGTATGCAGCTAGACCTGGCTCGAGACGTAATGTGAAAGCCATCCTGCCTATGTTGTTGCAGTCTTATATCCGTCCGGTCATCTAACCTACTTTGTGTTGGTTAAAAGGAAGGCCTCCAGGCAGCAGGCATAACTCGAATCCAGTGTTTATTTTTCTCTCTAGACTGTTAGTCCACAAGCTTTTCCTGACCAGGCGAAAGTAAGCCAAGAAACCTCTAGTCTCAAGATATTAAGTCAGATCAGGGCTTATTCCAAGAGAGTGAAACATGCTTTGGATAGTCTGAGCTTAGAAAATGGTCAAAGTCAAAGTAGGTAAATGATTACTTTCACAGGTCATGTGTCAAAAGATAATTCAAGAGCAGAGTCAAGTTTGAGTTTCAAAGCAGAAATCTCAAGCATCCTCTTACGTTCAGCTTCTTCTGTCTTTAATCACACGTGGTACTACACACACACACACACACACACACACACACACACACACACACACACACACACACACACACACACACACACACACACACACACACACAGGGGCTCGCCATCTGGATTACTCACTCAGGCATATTACCATAACTAATCTCTGTTTGTCTTTGGAGAGCAAGAAACCTTCTCCCTCACTGACAGTTTTCACATTTTCTTAGAAATTATCCATGGTGCTCACATGCAAGGGACTGTTCACCAGAGTGACACCCAGTAATATATTAATAAAGTAATACAGTCATTAACGCTGGGCAGTGAGAATAAGATTTTTCCAGTTTGTGGTGAATTTTCAGCTTCTAGGCAGTACAAAATCTAATTTAGGAGTAGTGCTGAAATTTATTAGCATAGCAATTACTCAATTGACAGAAAATCAACAATTTCATCGTATCAAATTTGAGGATTTACTGTGTTTCTCCCTTTTTATATCATCATTAATTAAATATCTTCTGGTTTTGGACTGTTGGTTGAACAAAACAAGCAGTTTGAAGATGTCACCCTGGGCACTGGAACATTGTGACGGTAATTTTTCACTATTATCTGACATGTATCCTTTGCCCCTCTGTTTCTGCAGGACAATGCAGGATATGGAGAACCCCCAGGTCACCTCATGTAACAAGGGAGACCAGCATTACCGCAGCTCCCCTAGTAACCAGTCCTCCTCCAGTGATCCAGGACCCTGCGGTAACAGCACCTGGTCCCAGCAGCCTGGATATGATGGGTACAGGACCACAGTAGTGTTACTTCTTTTGAAATAGCCTCTAAGTAGTCCCTTCAGGAATATGTGTTTTTTTCAGTAATGAATGCGGCTACAATCAGGCCCAGCTCTATTTCTGAGAACTTGCAATTTTTCAAAATGACAGCAATTTTTCCACATGAAATGACCAAATCATCAGCACACTTTTGGCCAGTCGGCACTCCTTTTTTGCAGGACGTGATCTAACAAACAATAAAATGATGCATGCATTTGTCTAATACCACATCCAGTGCCCTAAATGAGGGAAGATGATGGAGGGTGATGAGTTTCATGTATGAGATTTGTTTTAGAATTATTGTAGTTTCCATTCAGTCATCTCCAAGCCTTGGTTTCATAATCCCATTAAGGAGAAAATAAAGGCTACTTAAAACTAAATGGGCACTTGTAAATTAAACATTCAGTTTTATAGCCATTAAAAAGCCAAGCCAAGTACAGTATATTTCGTTCTTGTAACTTAAGCACATCTTCTTTCTTCTGTTTAAAATATTTAAATCTGATGAGCACTTAAGTATAATAGGAACTGATTATAAGAATTCTTTCTTGTCCTTCGGTATATCCTACTGCGTTGAAAATAGATGTTTTGGTAAAGTTGATCTCAGAACTGTAATTCTGGAAAGAGCAGGAAGAAGAGGCTTCAGCTAATGGAGTCCTTGTAGCGTCTGTCTAACTAGTTTGTAGCCACCACGGTTTCTTTCTGACATAAAACGTCCTCTTTACGGTACATGTCAATATAGATCTATTTTCAATATTATGGTCTTTTCCCAGCTTTCCATCATATGATGGTTTGCAGGGCAGCGTAGCTTCAGGCTGCACCCGCATTACGTCTGTAAGGCTGAGACTTGTACGCGAGCAGAATCCGTCAGAGACCAGTGTCTGTCTGGAAGTGGTTACGGACCATGATAAGAGGCTTAGCTCCGCACTGCTGCTTTGCTGTCAGAGGCCTCAAAAAGTGCGCTGAACTCTCAGTGTGCCCTCAGAGGTGCCATGATGCAGAACAACAGACGTGTTGACTGGACAATTGATCACCAGTTAGTGTTAGCAAAAGTTCACGAGACACTGTGGCCTCTGTTCATCTATTGTAACCTTCATTGGCTCTTTAATTAAGACCAGCATTGAAAATTTTGCTGCTCTTTCCCCTTTGTCAAGAGCAAGTGCGCCTGGCATGCCAAGTCGAATGAAAGGAGGTCTCATGTCAGCGTTGTCTGGCAGCTTCTTTATTCTATTATAAGCTCAAGTGATTTGACCTTAAATGATCTTGGGCTAATTGCTGTACAATTGTGGTAAATCTATTGAAACCCTTTCTCTGACTAGAATACAGAGCTCACTCTATAGACAGTATAAAATCATTTACAGCCCCTTTCCCCCCTCCTTTCTGTAGTTGTCCTTCCCCTATTCTCCACGAGCGGGCAGGGGACATGCAGGGGGGCGATGGAGAAATCCACAGGGAGAGGGAGCCCACCCTGGAGAGGACCAGGTCTGCAGGTGAGTTAGATGTTCTTTCATCTAAGCACTCATGATTCAGGTAAATATGGTGTCTAGAAATGTTAAAAAGACATATGACCCAGGGCTTTCATCAGTTGCACTTAGTGTGATTTAAGCTGTTTTTTCATACCTGGTACTTCTCAACACTCACATTCTTCTTGCTCCACAGAGGCCAAATGGCACATCCCCTCCACCAAGATCCTGAACCCTCTGAAGCAAAGAGAAGGTGGAAAAGACTCTCCCAACAAGCTGTCCAGGGTAAATGTCTGGACTTATTTTAAATTCAGTTTGACAGAATCTGCCCACATGACAGTTAATGCAAGTGTTTAGAAATTCAGTGGCTTGTTTTGAGGGGCACAATGTTTGAAAGCTCTGACTTTAATGCAGCCTCCGCAGTATTTGTGGAGTAGAGTGTTTTGCACTGCCCAACTCTGCTCTGTCAGACCTGGTTTACCCCTCATCAGCGTTTGAATCGGGGTGAGGTCAGATTGCCCCTGTTTAACAGCCACTCAATTGGGGTATTCAACCTCATGGTGTTCCCTGTTGCTGCTCTTTGCTCTTATCACTTTCCCTTCATCAGCATGCTAATGGGTGTCTCATCTCATCACCATTTCTGGTTGTCTCACACTTTTCTAGGACACATTTTCCTAGAAGGCTGAATATATTACGTGCCCGAGCCTCTCATTTCCCCCTTCTCAATATACCCGTCTCACTTATCTTTTATTTTTTCCCATACACCATCTTTGCTTCTGTCTTTTCTTTCTCCTTTGATGCTGGAGGCTGGAGCATACAGCAACAACTTTCTGTGGTTTTAGCCAGTGTTGTGTTAACCCAGACCAATGGATAAAAATTTAAACCATTCCCTTGGAACTCTCTCGTTTAATGCACAGAGCTTGTTTTTTTTTTTTTAATGTGATGTGATTTAAGTTGCTTCCGTGGTGTAGGGGTGTCAAGCATAGCATAAAGAAGACAACATAACAGGTCATACTCCTGAGGTTTTAATTTATGTTCTCTATTTAAGCATTACTGTTAACCACATTCACACCTGATGATGAACAACTCTGGCTTTCTGGTCTTAACTGAGTAAAGTAGTTGCTGAAAATGTTATACACCCCTTTTAAACCCGCATTTGCGAGGTCACAAACGAAGTATGTAACAATCAGCATCTTCTGTTTGTATTCCTTCCTGTTACTGTGAACTAGCCAGACAGTAACGTAGGCCTCAAGAAAACCAGCTGTCACTTCAGTCAGGGACACATGAACATGTGATGTAGGCTGATGGGTAAAGCCATCCCCTTCTGGTGCCCCAAGCATGTCAAAACAACTGTAAGAATTATTTGCACCTGCTGTTTGACCTTGTCTGATTTACTGTATTTCTGTCTCCTTCACCCCTCTTGTGCTCTCTTTCAACCAGACGGGCGATAAAAACTCAAGCCACTCAAGTAGCAACACTCTCTCAAGCAATGCCTCCAGCAATAGCGACGATAAGCACTTTGGCTCTGGAGACTTGATGGACCCAGAGATGCTGGGCCTCACTTACATCAAAGGGGCTTCCACAGACAGCGGCATTGACACTAATCCCTGCGTGGCCCCTGGGGCCCGGGTGTTGCTGCAGGGCAGGGTGGGAGAGCAGGGACACCCCTGGGTATCAGAGCACCATGAGGACGGGGCGTCAGAAGAGGATCATGGGAAACTGTACCTGCCACAGGGCTACGCCTCTGCCATTATGTCTAGTCATGTGACGGAAGGAAGCATCGGCGACCTAAGCGAGATCTCATCCCATTCAAGGTACAGTGCAGTGATAGAATGTGTGTTTTTATTTAACTTTCTTCCCCTAAAAGACTCTGTAGATGTGTCATTTCTAATTGTTTAAGCTGCATATGTCCGCAATTGTCCAGTTAAAAGTGTGTTTTGGGTAGCAACAATTTAGCTTTCGAGATGGGTGATCAATAAAAGGGAAAAACCTGAATGATTGTGTGGAAAAACATAACAAATGCTTCCATACAGGTCACAAAGGGTAACTGAACTGGAGGGAAATGACGTGAATCATATACTATAGAGGAGTGATATGACAGAAAGCCATCATCATAACACCAAATGAGGGAATATGCTTTGGACGAACATTGTCCGCTCCTCCAGCAGAGTTCCAGAGACTGGTTCAGTTTATGATAAGTAGCATTGAATCTCTTCTGAAGGCCCAACACATTACTTGGACACTCTGTTTATTTTTTTTCCCGTGTATTTGCCACCACACGGTATACGTGACTCATGTTCTTTCTTCTCTAATTAATTCATTCTGTTCGGGTCATTGATTTGCCCGCTGACAAAAATCACACCCTTTTCATGGAATATGGCTCGAAGCACAATCCACTGTGTTCAAACAAGTGGATCTACATTCACACATACACCACTGGTGCCACGCTTTTCAGCCCATTATCTGTTCTGTTAAACACACACCGAGACAAAATCATGCACAAAAGGATGGTTGCTGGCTGTTAGCTGACCTTTTCACCCAGCCGTGCTCCCTCGCTCCTGAGCCGCAGCCTGACTCATCCAGCTGTGCTGAAGCCAGTGGGTGGGGCTGCTGTCAGGCTGGAGCAACATGGGGGGTTTCATCATGCCGCCATCCAAGTCCTCCTTACCAGACTGGGGCCCATCTGGGAAAGAGGAGAGGTGTCAGAGAGGGTTGGCCCCGCAGCCACTCACAGTCTGTCTCTAGGAAATAGAATGAGTATCTATTTGTTTATGCCATATAGGATTATGTTACCGCAATCTGTTCAGATCATTGACCTGTTTGGGTGGCATCAGAACTGTGTACTCCATGATATCATTCAGAAATGAGTAAAGAGCCCATGCCATCACCTTGACTACTCCGATGTATCCCACTTTTTATACAGTGGTCTTTGACACCGGAGTGTCATCTGAACAAACAGTGAAGCAGCAGGAGCACATTTCATAGGGGTGTGGCCCAGATGGTTATGAATATGGAAACAGATTATATAGTGGCTCCAGCTAAAGCCAACATTGATGTCTCAGGGGGTTTTAGCAGAATGTTTTGTGTTCACTCAAAGTTGTCCAGCAATCAACAAGGCTTTAGGACCAAAACCTGACATCTTTATGGACCTGTGCAGTTTATCTAAATTGCAGGATGACACCTGACCAGGCAGGGGCAAAGAAACATGAACTGCCTACCCTCATATTAACCTTAATCCCACACATCACAGGCGCTTTATTCCATCATTCCAATTTGCATGACTTTATCAATTTGTTCCTAATGACTTTATATCATTGCGCTGGGGGACCCCAATCAAAAGCACCCAAGTCCACCTATGTGGTTTTAATTATTACTATTTATTGTGTTCACGTTTGCCATCGTTCCTAATTTGGCTTAAAATTACAGAAACCTAATTATACCAGAATCAAAGTATTGCATTAGACAAAAAAGTATATATATTTTTGTTATACACAATATGCAAATTCATTTTAACATGCCTAAAATAATAATAATCAGTTGTTGTTGTTTTTTGTTTTTTTCATAAGACCTTTACTTAACATTTTGCTATGATGGCTGTTTTTTACAGTAATTAAGTCGGTGGTCCTTATGTTGATAGAATGATGAAATATAGGAAACTACAGTAGATGTGCCTATTCTGAGGGAAGGGAAATTTGCAAAGGATGAAACCTAAGCAATATAAGTAAAAAATTAAAAAAAAACAGACAGGCATGCTGTTTGGCTGATGCGTGGCTCATTGGCTCATCCTGCCTAAATCTGCCAATATCTGAACGAGTAAGGATATGGAGTTATGTTAAGTATTCTCAAGGTTCAGTTCACCCACATAAAAAAAACAAAAAACATTTTCCCACTTACCTTGAGATATCTATCCATCTAGTTTCTTTTTTACGGAAAATTTTCCTTAAAAACCAGAAATCAAAGAAGTCAGAAGTCATAGTGGTGGATACTTCAAAATAAAACTGGCTACATACCACACTCCTTTTATGATTTGAGTGCTCTGACCGTTTAATCTGGTTTGTCAGTTGATATTTGACTAAATATTAGGACAAAGTTCAGCAGGAATATGCACATGATAGACTGGATGTGAGTCATCTTTCACTGTAGGTTAGATTTAAACTAGCTTGTCTAAACTCTCCGTGGAGGAAAGTATGTCTTCCCGTCTAAGTCAACAGCAGAGCCAAGCATTCAGTACTCATTTTAAGTTCAAAATCATCTTGTTTTGTTATTTCTGAAAATCTGACCACAATTTTTCATTGTTGATGTTTGTTTATGCTTTCATGTTTTTTTCTGTTTTTAAATTCATTCATTGTGGTCACTTTTGAGTTACATTATGCTGTATTTTTTTGCTGTCTGGTCAGTGGCTCACACCACTCTGGCAGTCCCCTGGCCCGTGGTGCCAGATACTGTATGTCCGCAGACTCCTCCAAGGTGTACACCATCCCCCAGACCAGCAGCTCAGGGCCAGGGCCAGAACCGGGGCCAGGGCCCAGCTCAGAGGCCTGTGGACAGACACGACCACAGTCTGGTTGCAAACTCCTTGTGGGAATGAAGACGACTGATGATGATGATGAGGATGAGGATGCCCGCAGCACTGAGGGACCTCCCAGCATTTCAGAGTGTGGGTGAGTGTGTGACAGAGAAAGCAAGAGAGAGCATGTCCAAATGCACTCTTTATACCACAAAAACAAAAGGAAGTTTAGTATAGTTTGGTTCCAGTTCAACATTAGCTATATTAACATTTAAACATGCTAACTGGCCTCATCAGCACTGTATCTCTCACCTGTGAGATGTTTCCTCCCAGACTTGCTGTCTTGAGCCAGAACCATTCCTATACAAATGCCCCCCACCCCAATCAGTGTGCATAAACTGGCCTTGATTGAAGCCGACAGCCACAAAATAAATAAGCTCAATGAAGCTGCGGACATAACACACTTGGCACATGTCACTTGTGGTTATTGATTCTTCCCGTGAAGCCGGGTCCCCGTGGGCTGCCAGACTTGAACCTCTACCAGAATCTCTGCTGGGAGCCAAGCAGCGATCCGCACAACACACTGCTGTCAAACATGCAGTCCAAGGACACCTGCCACAGAATCTCCTCTAGGAAGAAGAATGTATGCAGTCGCTCAGCCAGGTTGAGAATGTATACTCTCCTCAGACTTTATATGACTTTATATGAACAGTGACGACTGACTGTATCTGTCTGATGATTAAATGGCTTGCTGTAGAGAACAGAGAGACATTCATGGTGACATTGAAACGTGTGTGTGTGTGTGTGTGTGTGTGTGTGTGTGTGTGTGTGTGTGTGTGTTCATTCGAAGTAGTTTGCGTGTGGGCTCGGGGCACATTTGGAGGACAGAATGTGAGATTTGCCCTGGAAGAAACCCCCTGCTCTAGCTCCCAAATAATTTCATTTAGGCTGTGAAATTTGCCACTTAAGGGCTATGTGATTGATCACATGAACTGAAGTCATCTTCGGCCGACTTATGAAAAAGCTCTGTAATCCAGTTACCCTCTGCATTGTTTGTTTATATATTCCTGTAGTTTTATTTCATCTTACATAACAGTGCCTCATGATGAATGGCCTAATATTACTCGCAGATATTGTTCTAACATAATGAAGTTTCTCTTCCCCTTTTCTGAAAAGTTTTCTCATTTGCTCTAATGCTATATGTAATGCATTATGTGTAACAATGCTAACCCTGGGCTGTTTCTCTCTTGCCTCTGCTTCTTATTCCAGAGGAGCGGAGAGCTTGTTAGCCTTCCTTCTTAAAATGCTGTCTGAGCGTTCAAGGTACACAGTTTGTCAAAGTCAACCCCGTGGCCCAGTCTGACCCAGCCTGCTCCCCCACATATCACAACCCCCACCCCGCCACCCTTTGCCCCAGACCACCGCCCCACTCATCTCTCGTGGCAGGTCTAAAGTGCTAGTCCTGCCATGTGGCACATGCTGAGAGTGGAGGGCAACCAGCTGTGCATCAGTGGCTTTGACATTTCCGCTGTATCTCCTTGTGTACCAGTACTTTCTCCGTTAGACCCTCATCCAACATGCTCTCTGAAATCCTGTAGTTATGTTTCCATTAAAAGTTTTGTGAATTTCTGAAATGTTTTTAAAATAAAATCATCATGAATCAGTGCATTTTTCTGTCAATTATCTTGAAGCAAGCATATTTTTATTATATTATGTAAAAATTACAAATTTAATCGAGCTCCAGTAACTCGGCTTTATGATGCTTGATATGAATTTCATTCTGCTTCATACCCATAAATTTGTCTCTTCTGAACCACCCGGTGGTGGAACAAGCAATGCGCAACAAGCAACTCAGTCTGGACACAAACCAGGAGTGTTGTGGTTACGTGCACCCAATGCCCTCACTCTTTTTGTGCTTCTTGGCCTTTCTGGTGAAGTGGAGGCCTGTCGCAGTGATTGGCAGCATGACATTAATGCCTTGTGTCTTCAGTAGAAGAAGCAGAAGAAAGTACTGCGACCTCAAAGTGCAATCAAAAAATCTATTTCCATCAGCATTTATTGCATTTTGTAGTATTGATAGGCCAATTTTCCACCTCGGCCAAGCCTAAAGGAATCAATTTATTTGTCTATTTTCAAATTTTTTATATTAAAACTGTGTATTTCTAACAGTGGATGAAAACGTACCTTCTTTCTTTCATACACAGAATCAGGACTTGCTTTCCAAGAAAACATTTATTACACATTGTAGTATTTAACAGATGCTCTTGCACAGTAGATTAACCTTTAATAACAAAGGTCAAGGCTTTAGCTTTGCTCCAGTCTTTTTGTGATCACTGATAGATCATCTAAGAACAAATTGTACCACCAGGATACAGAACTCAATTAATTTCACTTCTTTTTCCTGGATGCAGCCTTCAGAATAAAGCAATTGCTTCTGAACCGGCCTTGAATCAGTCAGAAAGAATCTGATAATCGCACATTTGCAATAAGCGTCTATGTATTTAGGGCTTGGTTGCCATGGTGCCAAAAGCTTAAAAAAGGGCAACTCTCAGCAGTAGTGTCTCTAGGTAACCATTGCAGCCAGGTGGTCCCATCGTCTCGCCGTCTAGCGTATCACCCTCCAGAAATCTAACACCCTGCCAACAGCACTCAGTGTATCATGCTCACAGGCTGCTCACTTAAAGCAGAGGTCTCACAGCCACAACTTCACCAGCCAGGTTTTGTCACCCCACCGCACCCCTCTAAACACTCTCAAAATCATGTATATGTTCTCTGAAAATACCCACTGCCCCACTGACAACCATCGCCTCTTGTGGGTCCTTCTCCAACACTGTTTAACAGCTCTCTTGTCTTCCTCTGTTGTTGTCTGAACACTCCCCTAGAGTCTGTGGTTTGCACTTGTCTCTGGATGTAATTTCTGTCAAAAACCCTCCGTTTTTCCTTCCTTCCTTTTCTTCCTCTCACAGCACTTGGCCACACTCTCCACCGTCTCTTTAATCATGGGTTTGGCGTTGTGAAATGGCACGTGGTGGTACTAAAAATAAATTCCCTCCCTAGCTCCTCTCTCTAACCCTGTTACCCCCATGTTCACCTCACTAGCATGAGCAGGGAGGCACCTGATCTTGGCATGCGAAGATGGATCCACCTGAACTGCTTGTGTGATACTGACATTATTTTCTAAATAGCTGGACCCAAGCTGTGATGGCCCAAGGCCTCCCCTGCAGGTTGTGGCTTTCATGCCCCTTCTGATGAGCTCTGCTTTTCTGTGCCCTCTGTGTTGTCTACAGGCAGCTGTATGCACAGGAGGCTGCCTGCCGGCTCCAGGCTGCTGAGAGGGATGGAAAATCACTGCAGAGGCTTTCGAAAGAAGAGTATCTTAAAATGATGCTGCCCGACAGCCCTCCTGGAGAGGACAGGAGTCGGAAGGTGAGGTCGTTGTGGCTGATTGAGCAACAAACCTTTAATTTACATTGACACACGGACAAATGAAACTGTAAAGTAATGATTGATAGCATGATTACATGACATGCTAAAGATATTCTACTGCAAACCTGGCTATTTTATCATGCTGACTCACCGTTAATCTCTTGCTGGGAAGACGTAAAAGCAGGACACCAGCTGATGGGGTTTGTCTCTCCCAACACAAGACCCTTTCAATTCCCATTGACTGGCACAGAGTGGTTAATTTAATTTATAATGGGGCCTGGGTTTGCTCAGTCGGGATGTCATGGATTAAAGGTACGGAGATGCAGAGAGTGCATCGATGTTTGATGTTCCTGTGTCCTGCAGACTCTATTAATTGCATCTTCAGTTCCCCACGCGCCATCCCCCTTCCCCCATCCATTATCTACCAGGAAGGGACCCTGGAGACATATAAATCAGTTATTTTTGGATGCGGCTCAATTCTAACATAAATGCACTAGAGAAGGCAGGCATGTCCTCTGGCACAGGTAGGCTTTGTCCCTCACATGACGCATCTCAGTGCACTGACTAGCTTGTCTTGCTGTTGCACACTGGGCTTACAGTATATAAAATGTGTAGAACCAAGCAGTGCCTGTCTAAAATTAAAGAAGGTGTATAAGGCCTGCGAAGTGATTTCCCTTCAACTGATGCTATTTTGTTTTCCCACAGAGAAGGAAAGCACAGTAATCAGTACAAAGGTGCTGCTTATTGGATTCAAAGAGCAGTATGGTCTTTGTTGTAATCACACTCTCCTGTCTGATTCAGTGCGATAATACAATGTGTGGAAAAACAATCTGGGAGAGAGATGCATGAGGGACGGCACAGCGCCAGACACTCCAACCATATACACATCTGATCCCAATGAACACATACTGTTCTTTTCTGGGAGCAGCTTCGCTGGGACTGCATGTTTTCAATCACTAGCTGGCACGTAAAGGAATCAAATTACAGTAATGACAATGTTGGAAACATCATTGCTGTATTTCTAATTTAATACAGTCTGACTTGTTTAATCTCTTAAGTAATTAAACAGTCTACAGTAAAGGTTAATTTGCATGTCACTTCCGGTAGTCACCCGATGCCTTTGTGTGGGTGAGCAGGTGCAGAGAGATTTTTCTTGCCAGCCGCTGTGTCTGCTGGGACGCCCTTCCACAGACAGGCAGACTATTGTGTAGCTGACGTAAAGGAAAGGCCGTTCACAGCTTATTCTCCCACAACGTTCCTCTCTTGAACCTCCTGTGGGAAAGAAAAAAAAGGATCTGAATAGGTGGTTGTCCAACACATCCTCTCAAGTGGCACGTCAAAGGGTTCCAGTGCTGGTTGTTGTCTTTGTTCAGTGCGGGCAGCGAGGAGGGGAAAAAAGTCAGGAAAATCAGGATAAATCTAGGTGGATGTGTCACTTCTGCCTCAACTGATAAGAGCGTTGCTGTTGTACAAAGTGATTTGCATTACAGCCCAAATCAGGGTGAGGACTGTTGCCAGCTGAGGTGGATTTAGACACGCTAAAATAGTCCATAATCTTGCAGGTTTGATTAATACAATATTTTCGATAACCAGTGCCAAGATGTGTTCAGAGAGCCTGGTTTGATGCCGTGGATGTAATAAATAGATAGCTTCTGAGAAAACATTAAGCCCTCTTGCAAATGGTTTCATTTGCCGTGACTCCATTTAATGGAGCTCTAAGTCAGTGCTATTTTTGCTTTATATGAGAGAGCAGCAAATCCTGTTTAAAGTTGTTTTGATGAGCGAGAACCTTATGGGCTCTAATCTTGTAAAGTTGGGTGGGAAAACTTGCAATAAGATACAACCGTGTTAAGTTAAAGCCTCTGAGATGTTCTGTGGAGGCAATATGTATGTATGCTGCTTTGAATTCCAGTATACATCTCCGCTTTAAAGACCTACTAGTTGTTTGTTAAATTCTCACGGTGGGATTTGTGGGGGATCTGTTTGAAATGGAGATGGCTGGGTGTTGGCTTGTGGGGATACTAGTCTTGTGTTGGTTACAGCTGGGAAGCCAAAGGCAGACATTTACCCATCTGGCCAACTGTCCCGCATATCATTTGTGGCTACTTTTGATGTCACTCCTGCAGTATTTATGTAAGCTAAAAGGGACAATGATGGATTGGATTGGCCTTTTGTGGTTTTGTGTGTTTAAAGAGGAGATCCTCTTGTCAAAATTCTGGCCACGGTCATGAAAGTCCCTGCAGTGGTATCCTGTGCTCTTGGAATGCAGTGGTATTAGATTTTCACAGTACGATAACCGCTTTATTATCACGTTATATGCTGCTAGTAGTAGTAGTAGTAGTAGTAGTTTTATTATTACTATCAGTTACAATTACTTTAAAAAGGAATGAAACACAAGGGGTTTTTTGGTTGAACAAAATATTATGTCCTGACATACATGACATTTGATATAAACTTGACATTTTCTAATAACGCTCATATGGTAGAATTCAATACCATAGATGCTATGGATAAGCAAATGTACATGTTATTGGTAACAGTAAAATGTTCATAGCATAGTACACTGTGAAACCAGTACACCACTGCAACCCTACTGTGCACCGAGGATATCGGGACGAAGCTGCTTTTCAACCCTCACAGCTGTTGTGATTGTTCCTCCTGACCTTGTGTTGCATTTTGACATGTGCATTGCCTTGCACCAGCCTCTAAAAGTCTTGTTTAGATGCTTTGCGATATGAGTCCTATTCTAGAGAGTACACACAAAGCAGCAAATGCACTTTTGTGTATGTAGGTCATACCCAACGCTTCACTGGACTGTGTTCATTGGGTCTTTGGTTTGGAAACCAAGGGAAAATGTGTAGAGTTTAGTCAAAAGTACAATAACCACACTGTTATAATACTAATACTAAAATATTGTAAGGAATGCAAAGTTTTTTTGACAAAGTTTGTGGACACATTTTGATCGAATATTTTTTTGTGCTTGTGTCTGTCTTATGTCAAATGCAAATACAATCTTAGCTTGTCTGTTAGCTTATATTTTTCTTTTCCGTCCCGTATTGTGGCACCTACACTTAGTTGTCTCTGTTTTCCTGTACTTTCTCACATTAAGCTCAGTGACTATTGGCTGCCTTGATGGTAGTGACCTCTGTCACTACCTCCACAAGCCCTGTCCACTGTTTTTCCCCCTTCTGCCAGACACTCTCCAGCTGTGCTCAGTCCATCTGCATTTTCCTGAGAGCAAAGACTGTAATCGATTCCTGACACTACTCCCTGATGTTGCCTCCTTACCCACCCAGCTGCCCACTTGTGTAAACCTGCTGTGCAGAGGACAGGCAAAGCACAGGGAAGATCTAGACAGAGGGCCATCGCTGGGGGTTTGGATCATTTGCCTTGTTGTGACTCTCTCTTGACAAATTGTTCTACCTCTCCTTCTCTTAGGTGTCAGCAGTGGGCAGTTTGTCACCGAGACGCTCCCTATACCGGACTCTATCGGATGAGAGTGTGTGTAGTAACCGCAAGGGTTCGTCCTACGCCAGCTCGCATAGCTCCATGCTGGACCAAGCCATGCCTAACGACATACTCTTCAGCACCACACCACCTTACCACAGCACGCTGCCTCCTCGCATGGTCCACAACCAGGGAGCATCCAACCTAAAGAGTAAGTACAGACAGTGAAACTCACACTGGGCTAACGGGTGCTAAAGAAACGCCTCCAAATGTGTACAGTACTTGACATCACCACGGATACTGCAGAGAAGCTGCTTCAAATAAAAACAAAGAATTCTTACTAAAACACCTCTTAGACAGGAAAAGCTAATGCAGACTTTCTCTGCATGTTGCACTTGGATTATCATTCCTCTTCTCTGGCACCAGATAAGAGCCAGGATATAGATAACTTGTTTGAAGAGCCACTTGTGTCCTACTGATATCATTAGCACAACTGGTACACACTCAAGCAGCACTCCTCAATATAGCCAACTAATTGGAACTGGGTGAGGCGGTGTGCAGCATGCAAGGGGCCTGCTGCTCCGTCTGCATTAAGCAGACACCTGTCACTGCTGGCTAGTATTCCCCTCTCTGCTGTTCTCCAGCATCCACTGAATATGCATTAGCGATGAGAGGCGTGCGCCTGCGACACTGCAGGTTTGTAAGATCTGTGACGTGAACATGCCTATTTTTCCATCAGGAGTTTCACGATGTCTGTCATACGTTATGTTTCATTCACTCATAAGTCCCTGCCTGCCTGCCTCCCCTCTCTGTCCCTCCTGTCTCATTTCCATACCACTCCTCATCTGTCTCCGGCTGCCGTCGTTAGATAGAAAATGGCTTTTGGAAAGATGTTTCTCTCTTTGGCCTCTTCTGGCTGTCAACCTGATGGATTTTCCCGATTGTTTTGAAGGGTAGTTGAGAACACAGGCTCCCTCTTTCCCTTACTGAAACAGCCCAATTTGGTAAACAGTGAATCACTCCTGCTCCAAGATGCTGGGTAAATTGAAAGGAGAGTGTCAGCATCACCTCAAGCTCTCTCTCTGTCTCTTCTCTGCTTCTCCACTCATGCTTTTCTAAATGCCTCTCTGCAGAATGGGAGCTTGTTTATTGCATTCCCCGTCTTTCATGGCTGACAGGGAGGCAGGGCGGGAGGGACAGAGGGGAGCAAAAGAAGATATTGATTGAAACATGAAGACATTCACTTAGACAAGTCATTTATCACTCCTCAGACAGCACCTTGCGAGTGCTATGCAGAGAAGGTGGTTTAATGTGACTCTAGCCTGTCGTGCTGTCACATAACAAAACTTTTCTTTCCAAAGTTAAATTGTTTGCAACCTTTAGGAGGATTTGTTATTTCGGTGCATCCAGATTAGAACTGGACTCAGGTGAAGGTATGATTGAATATGAGTTACTTAGCATAGTCTTGAGCTAGGTGATTTGGTGTGCAAGGCTGGAGTTAGGGAAGTTTCACCCTTTTTAGCAGCAATAACTAGTTCAAATAAACCCCCTGCCTTCCCCCTTCTACGCCCCCCCCATCCCTCTCCCAACTCCTCTTGTCTGCTCTGATGCAAACTGATGGGCGACTCAGGGATTGTCCCTAAACCCAGGCCAGGCCTAGACACTGATCGGAGTGCCTGCCTGTCTCTGCAGATGAGTTTTGGTTCTCTGACGGCTCCTTGGCGGACAGGTCCAAGTTCAGCGACCCGGGTCTCATGCCCCTCCCAGATACTGCCTCAGGCCTGGACTGGTCTCACCTGGTTGACGCAGCACGAGCCTTTGAAGGTAACCAGCCTGGCTGAAGCTGCTGGCACCTTGTGTAACCTCCCCCGTCCTCCTGGCTGCTTAGCGTGTGTGCGTGTGCGTGTGCGTGTGCGTGTGCGTGTGCGTGTCTGTAATCTGCAAGTGCTAGCTCGCTTGAATGTGCAGGTTTGTGTGTCCTTTGTGTTTGTGTTTCTTCTAGTGTCTCCTAAGTGCTGTAGGAGGTGACTTGTGGGAATCTTTTTGCTTTTTGCGCCTCTGCCCTGAGTCCCCGTGTGATTCCTGTCGACCTCTGGAACTTGGAAAATGAGCCATCATTTGTCAGCACAGACATGGAGCCAATTTTTACTCCATAAAGCCAGCAAGTCGCCATTCGGAGAGAGTTCTTATATGTTCCCTTATACTATTAAGCTCTTGGGTTGATAGTTTGGGGGGAATTTAAGCTTTGCCTTTTGTCCAGGAGGTCTGAATATGGTCCACTGGAAGTGGTTGGATTTTATTCTTCTACAAAACAATGACAAACATCTCATCCGGCCCAAAGCGGTGGATACCATCCCTAGAAATAGAAATCTATATTTTTAAGCTGGGCTTTCTTATAACCTGTCTGAATGGCTGCTTTAGAGTATTTGCATTTTTTGGTGACTCTGGAACAAGCGATTTAGGAAATTGAGTATGCACAAAAATTGAATTGCAGTATTTTTTGTCTTTCTAGACAGCGGGACAGATGTGTTCCTGTCAAAACTGAAATCTGTCTTTTCACTCAGTCACACTCTATTTGCAGTTAATTAGCATTGACAGCCATCGTCTCAGCCACTTCATGGTCAGCATCATCACTTCTGTTCATTTATTTCCCCACGGTTTACGTACTTTTTCAACCACTCTCATGCCAGTGTGTTTACCATTTCTTATCACGGATACGCTAACATGCCATGCGTTTTATTTTCCAACTTGATCTCTGTCTGACCCCGAGATCAGTGAGCAGGCAGCATAGCATGTGACCATTCATTGTCATAATTAATGAATCCTCTATAGAGTTCCTTCTTCGATACATTTCCTGCTGCATAGCTCGCAGCATATCATTTAACCGGAGTGGAATCAGCGGAGATGATGCAGACTCTGACTGGCAGCTAGAAGGCAGTTGTCACGGCAGCCTGGCTGGCCCAGAAAAGCGCTGTGTAAACTGGAGTCTTGTTGCCAAGCAGAAAGTGGCTCCAGGCTGCCATCGTGCCGTGTACGTTCAACCAGCTCTGTTTAGAGGCAGGAGAGAAAGAGGTTGCCAGCCATGCAAAGCATTTATAGCGTTCATAACCTAAGCCATGTGGATCCTGAGAGACTGCTCTTATTCCTGATGCAAAAAGGCAGTTTGGATTTGGAATTAAAAAAAACAGGCTTTGATAAATGTCAGCAACAGAAGGCTTTTGGTGCATTCACTGAAAGCTCTTTGTCAACTATTGGATATGTTTTAATATTACCTCAGAAATCACAGACTGTCGTGTTTTCTCTTCAGCGTAATCTGTTTTTCTTTGATTGTCCAGTAAATCTGGACACCGGGTCACGCAAAAATGAAAAGCTGCTTTTCTGCACCCATCAGTGCTTACCTTGAAGTCTTTAATCTTTCTGATGCAGCCATCAAATATGAGGAAAATGTTCATTCATATGTAAATTAAAGCTTGGTCTCCCTTTCCTGCCTCGTCTGAACATCCAACTCCAGGCTCTATCAGCTTTTGTCTTGGAGTGGATTAGCTTTCATTTGGGGGCTAAATTAATAGAAGGGTTTCCTTAATCTTTTCTATGAATATGCAGATCCTCCTATCTTTAGTCTCAGACCAAGGGCTTGAAAGAGAGAGAGTGGGTTCTAAAGAAAAGAGTATCACGCCTTAAAACCGAACAGTCCCCAAGTGTAACATGCCAAGTTTGGGTTTTCCATGGGGTGTTGAGCAAGCTTAAGGGCTTGATATGGTAAAACAAGCATGACTGGTGCCTTACATCTCTCTGGGATCCAGCCCATTATGAGCAAAACAGCTGTTAGAGGAAGCTCAGAGGGGCGAGGGCCCCAGAGCAACACCCAAGAGACTTAGATAGTCTAGAAATGCTCTGTTTACCGCCTTGCTCCTTTTTGTCTGGTTATAAATCTCTCAGTGTGGGAGGACTTCCCTTTTGGTGGCTTTGCAACAGCGCTTAAACCAGAGCCACTCATTCATACAAAGCATGAATGAATCACCTCATCCTGTCAGGAATGCGAGCATGCGAGTGTGTTGTTCTGCTCTACTTTAGTTGCATGCTGATAACATGAAAAGCGTTGCCGAACACATTTCCTGTTGTTGATGTTGAGGGCAGATAATGACCTATTCCGTCACCCGTTCTGTCTCCAGACCAGCGCGTGGCATCTTTCTGCACCATGACGGACATGCAGCGGGCAGAGGCTCTGCAGATCTCAAGAGAGCTGACCAGACGGGTGGTGGAGGCGGAGGGAGCAGCGCTGGAAGCAGAGTAGGCTTTACTGACGCACACGAGCACCAACGCTCCAGCAGCAACTGAATAATTGACTGTTCGCTAAACCATCCAGGGGGTTACATTAGAGCTAGTAACATTTCAATTAAATGTATTTATTGTACTGTACTAAAAATTAACTAGGACTAACTAGCTCTACACTGCAATACACAAACAATGTTGCTGCTATATTTTCATGTCCCAGTTATACATAATAAATGAATTAATGAACCATGGCTACCTCATTTAAGAAAATGAGAGAGCAGAAAACTTGATAGGTATAGCAACAGTAACAGCAACGGGCGGGACTTAGCTAACCATTATCAGCTTTTATATTATGTTTTATTCGTGTAATAATTGAGTCTTGCTGAGTCTTAACAGCATCCAATTTTGTGTCGCCCAACAGCGGCTCCCCCTCCACACTGACGGGCAAAGTCAACCAGTTGGAGGTGATCCTCAGGCAGCTGCAGCATGACCTCAGAAAGGTAAGTTTGCATATATCAGACTCATTTCTTGATTACGTTTCCATCAACTTCTTGCTCTCCTTTCTCATGTCAACAAATACTGCATGTCTGTGTCACACAAGTCGGGAGAATAGGCATTGAGTAATGGGTGCCCTGAGGTCTGTGTAATACAAACTCGTCCACTTAATTCAATATCCTGCTTCCTTTCCTTATTGTTTCCCAGGCCAACATTTCCCCACCTCCACTAATGTGCTTAAAGCGGAGAGAGGAAATGCGTTTTTATCAGAACAGAGAAAAGGCTGCTTTGCCATGTTAATGCCTCCCATTTACACAGCGCAGATGAAAGACGGATGTTCTTGTAATAGCGGGGCTTTTATCAACCTCTTGTAGCCATTTATTTTTGCCTCATGTACCGGTGTTGTGTGTGTGTGTGTGTGTGTGTGTGTGTGTTCAGGAGAAAGAGGATAAGGCGATGTTGCAGGAGGAGGTTCAACACCTGAGACAGGACAACATGCGACTGCAGGAGGAGAGTCAGACAGCGGCGGCTCAGCTAAGGAAGTTCACAGAGTGGTTCTTTCATACCATCGACAAGAAACCCTGAGAGAGAGAGAGAGAGAGAGAGAGAGAGAGAGAGAGAGAGACCCGCGGAAAAAGAGAGGGAGCGAGTGCAAGATGGCCTTCACTCCTCCTGAGCACCCACTAAACTTCTACTTAAGACTCCCAGATGATCCACAGGCAAACAAACTTTCAAACAAACCATTACCGGCCACCAGAGTAATCAAGACTGTAGTGCAGTCCCTGAAACCCTGACCTGGACCTTAGCTTTGGGATCCTCTTCTGTCTGAAGCGCAGGGCTGTTTCTGACATTTTTCCATCCTGGCAAACGAGACTCTTGGGAAACCTCCTCATCTCCAGCGCTGGGGAGGAATTAAGGAAGGCGACCCCTGGGGGCCCCTCGCCGGTGTCCCTGGGATCTTCTTACAGTAGTGGAATGTAAAGCTCATTTACTGTAGTCAACATATAATCTACCTACGTATGTCCCGTCAGTCTACTGTACTGTATACTCAGCTGTACTGTATCATACTGCGCACACTGTCACACAGCTGTTTCTGTGCCGCCCTTCACGGACACAGGAAAGTAGAGCGGGTGAGGCGAGGAGGGGAGGAATGTACTGGACATAATGAAGTGGTACTTGCTGTCTGCTTGCACCAAGAGGAATTCACATGTGGCGGTCTTGAAAAGTACAGTGTGTGGGGGGGGAAATGAATGTAGCTCAACTGAAGCTCTTTTTTTCTTTTTTTTCTTTTTTTTTTTTTTTTTGGCTGGATATCTGGTTCCCAAAGTCACAAAGGTTTCAAGGTTTGAAGTTCTGGGCCATTTTCCTTTTGATAAATTCCGCTTTTCTGTTCTTCAGTATTGTAATTGTAGGGTCACATGGCAGTAAGTTTGATGTTTTAAGGTGCTTTCCCTACGCACACGTTTGTCAGTAGTTTGCATTCACTGTCACAATGTCCTAGCAATAATGAAGTGGTAGTTACAAAACTGTTTAAAAAAAAAAAACAAAAAAAAAAAAAGTTAGCACAAACGTGAAGAGTTCCTGTCGAGAAGCAGTTGTACTTGACATGTATTTATAAAACAGGAAGAGACTGTGCCTAAAACTCTTGGTTGTAAATGGATTGTTTCTCTTTGCTTTTAATTCTCTTTTATAAACACATGCCTTGTCTGTGGCTCACTGATCTAAAATCGTGTGAATGTATGTATGTGTGTGTGTGTGTGTGTGTGTGTGTGTAGTTTATCACAGCAAAATGTGTTCTTATGCAGTGGTTTCTAGAGCATTAGAGCAAGAGCCAGTGAACCACACTTACAATGCCAAATGTGTTTATTTCTGTACATATCTGCCACAGAAGTGTCTTGTATTTAACACTATTATTTAAGCTTATTTAACCTAAAGTTGTTTATTTTATTAAGGGTATTTGTTTTTTTTTTGGTTTTTGGTTTTTTTCTGCACTAAGGAGAGATAACGCTCTGTGTATGTTGTAAAGTGTGTAGCTTGCCAGGGCATAAAAAAACTATATATTTAAATATATAAATGATGATTTTGGAGATTCCAACATTTGGATGCTGCTAGATTACAGTTTGCTGGTTTGTATGCTTTTAAAAATGTCTCTCTCCGTAAACTGTCTCATCCCTGGTGGGACACTGGTTGCTTTATTTGTTTTTGTTCTGGGTTTTTTTTTTTGTTTTTTTTTTAATAAATGTAGCTGTAAAAATAGGTGATGTTTGTGTGTTTTTAATGTTTCTGTTGCCAACATTTTTAACCAAAAGCAGTGATTTGAGATTTTACTGAAGGATGACCTGCACATGTCAAAATATGCAAGAAATGCTTATTAGCATTAGAGTATTAAATGCTAAGCTTAGCATAAAGCTTAGCATAAAGACTGGAAGTGGGGGTTTAGTAAGTTTTAAAGGTGTTGGGAGGCAGATTTTGTTACCTTTGCACAGAGCTATGCTAACATTATGCTACACTATATTTTGTGCAGAAATGAGTGGTATTAATCTTCTCATCTCACTCAGTAAGACGGTGAACTAGGTTCCAAATGTCAAACTAGTCATTTAATGCAATACTTACATGCTTAAATGTAAATCAAGAGTTTTTTGCTGCTGTAACTTTATCCCCTCTCCTCACTGCCTATGAAGCAGTCCTTTCCTAACACATTTCTAATTTAAGAAATCCACAGTCCTTCAATGATTTTTTTTAATTAGTCATGTGGGGATCTTCCATAGACTTCTCTTTTGAGTATGAAATTTCATTTTTGCATTGAGCTGAGCAAGAAAGCAGGGAAACTCAAAGAGGAAATTTTGCACTATAAAGGCGTTTGAAGTTTGGAAGATAGCTGCTTGATCCTCACATTGTCTGGTCGGCACATTTCAGCTAATTCCTAATAATGAGGGACTAAATCTTGATAGAATTGTAAAAGTCACAGATATTTTTTTTAAAAATTAAAATCCATTAAAAGCATTATAAATGTAATGCATAAAGGGGCCTTATACATTGGAAAGACGAGACAAAGAAATAAGTTATTAGAAATAAGTAACATGATTTCAGAGGAGAGCTCTTGGAAATGAAGATTGACACAGCTGAGTATATGTCCTCATGAGCCAACTGATACCTCTTCTCCAGGCTTTAAACAAAAGACAAAGAGCTAATTTTGGGGCAGTACATGAGCTCCCGCAGGAGAAAAAGGAGACAACAACCTTTTCTATGAGACTTTTTCATCCTCTATTTTGTAAACAGCAGGTGTGCTAAGACTTTCGAATGGAAACATGAAACCGTAATGTGTTTGTGACTTGATTCCCTCTGAGTTGGTGTGCTTTAAATAAATGACAGATGTTACTTTCACCGCAGGGACGGCAAAGGACTCAGTGAATAATTAATCAAAAGCCTTTTTGGGTGCGGAGAGAAAAACAATTAAATTTGTTTGCTACTTCCTGCATAAACCTCCAGCCCAGCTGCTGGAGTGTGGTCCAATCTATCACACTCTCTCGGGGCTGGTGGATATGCAGCTGCAGTGTGGGTAGAGCTGGTCTGGCCATGTCTTTTTTGGATTAATGTTTTTCACCTTTGAGGGAGTTGGAGCCAGTTGCAGGTAGCTTGTTTGAAACATTTTTATGTTTGCAGCACCACGGTCTCCGAAAAGCCTGTGTCTGAGATTATGAAGCAATTTAAAATTTGAAAAAGCCGCTTCATCCAAGTCTTTGTGAGTGAACGTGGCAGCATGTTGTGACCTCTCCATCAGGCCACGCCGCACCAGACCTGCCTGTATAAATGCCTGGACGGTCATGTGTGTTTGTGTGGACCATAGCCTATACATAAAAAGGTGTGGACGAGCTCTGGGTTTGGCCAGGAGCAGCGTGCAGTGAGATGAGGTGCTTGATCTACATGTGTGTGAGCGGTGCCAGGACAGCAGATGGGAGCTCACACTGGCACAAGGCAAATGTGTTGCCTGTTTCAGATTGTGGAGGATTCCAGGGTGTGTTGTGCAGGATAAGATCGCAAGCTCGACCAGTGTTGAGAAGTGCCAAATGACTCCGGCGTCGTGGGAAATCTGGAGGAGTATCCATGGACAGAGGCCGGGGTCAGCAGCAGAGAGTGAAAAAGAAAAACTAGCTGCAGCAAGAAGATGCATGAGACCAATCCAATAGTGCAATGACATGTTGGAATTTTATTACCCTTGCAAAATATGCTGACAAGCAGTAAAGTTAGACCCAATCCAATAGGGTGAAAATCTGCTCTAACCAGATGGGTGAGCTTACAATCACGCAAACCATATTGATCTCAAATATTTGACTGTGTCAGCAGTTAAAGGAATAAACGTTTCTCCTCTGCTCTGGAGCGACGGTAATCCACCACTACACAGATTTGGTGCCCATCACCCATAATAGCATGTGACTGGGACGCAGTTGTCCTGCTTCCACAGTCCCACAGCAGATGCTCTCCTGCTGTGAGTGCCACCCGAGTCAGGATCACGTTACCCAGAATAGGGTTCAGTGTGCTCAAAGCACAGCTGGCACAGCTCTGGCGGGAGGGGGGGGGGGGGGGGGGGGGGGTCAGCCTGTAGTAACTTTCCTGTAGCTTTCCTGAAAACAATGGATTAGAGTTTGTGTTTCTCTTGTATTAATGTAAAAAAGTGTGGCTGTTGTATGTAAACCTTGGATCAATATATTGATACCATATTTTTGACTTTTCCCAGAAAGTTTGATGTATAAATTATTGACCACTACTGAGATATAAAGCATAGAACAAGGCAAAAAAAGAAAAATTCAATGGGCTTGGCTTTGGTCTTGTCAGACAGTTAGGAAATCTCAATTGTGTTGTGTGCCTGCGAGGCGTAACAGCAGGATTAGCTGGCTCACCTGGGCTTCTTATCTGTGCAGCTCATCTCTCCTCTGCAGGCGCTTTGAAATTCCCTCTCACTCACTGGGGAGCTGCACCTCACACACAACACAACAGAAAGGAAAGGACAGAGAGGGGAGGGAGGGGAGCGGGAAGGGAAGATCCTCCAAACCAACAGAAAGTCATCTCTCTCCCCCATCTGCCTCCCGGGTCCCCGCGAGCTGTCACTATCTGTCAGTCAAGTCACAGGTGACCACCCTCTTAGCTGAACCTAGTGAAGGACGACATTTTATAAGCCACTTGCCTGCCTGCCTGGCCTCAAAAAAATCAGAAAGGTTAAAAAAAAAAACCTCCAGAAAGGTCATTCATTGCAGAAAAGCTTGAAATCTCACACATCCAGCAGAGACAAAACCTCTCGTGTTGTAGGTATGGGAATAAAAAGTAGGCTCATGTCTTGTATTCCCCATGTGTTGTTTCACTGTCCAAAATAGATAGAGCGACAGGAACAAATAGATAAGACAGGGCAGCTGAATTATCTTCATTTGCCCACATTGTCCTTGTATGTTGTCCTTGTCAGCCTCGGAGCAACAACGAGGTCTGCCATTGATTCTCATTCGTCTGCTTCCAGTGCAAACAGGCATTCAAGGCGCGGGGCAGGTGGGTGAGTGGTGGTTTGGAGGTGTTCAGAACCAGATCTATGCTGACTTTCCCTTTTTTTTTTAACTATTGATTATGCAGAGTTGCATTAGTCTGGCCTGGCCTGTGTGGCTGAGTGCAGAGGTTGCTTTAGAGGGTCATGGGAATATTGATGTCTGGAGGGTGAACGGTAGGTGTGAGAGTGGGGGCGTATTGTAGCCTACCGAATAACAAACAACCCCCACTCACCCATCATCAGCAATAAAAGCTTAACTTGAGAGGCAATCGATCCCCTGTGTGAGAGAGGAGCTACACAGAGACGTTGGAAGGTCAAACGCAAAATGTGCTTGAGTCTTTCTCGTCACACAGTGAGCTCAGGAAAGAGTGATTAGCCATTTACCTTCAACCTGGCCTGCTCACATCAAACTGTTAAACAGTGTGCATGCTATGTCCATGTGGAGTTAATAACAACAGACCTATCATAATCTGACAGCAGGAATTGTTGAAATTCTGCTTCTTGCTCATTTTGGTGATCTCACTTTCATCGTCATTTGTATGGGACTCATGGAGCTCATTCTCTACAGTAAAATGTGTGCAAGCTCTTGAAACGGGACTATAAATTTGATTCAGCCACACAAGGCTAATCAGTTAACGGCTGTCCCATACCTCACTGCACACCTGGATTTTTCTATTTTACTCTCAGGGTTGTTAAATATCTGAAAGAGCAGATGTCTCTATTTTGAACTGTGGACCAGATGTGAAAATGTAAAAAACAACAAAATTCCTATCAGGAGGTCACTTCCTTACAGTAAGTCCATAATCTCTTTTTCCATACCTTAAAATAATTTCATATGACCTAACAAGAGTATGTAGACACAGGCGTGCTCACAGCGATGATGCTAACATGCTAATGCATAGCAGGTATGCTCTCAGCTGGCAATTTATTAGGAACATCTTGATAAAAAGAATGCAGTGTTATGCAACTGTGCTGCAATGATCCATACTTTTTGTTAAAA